CGGAAAGTGAAATCAACGCAGCATGATCTCCTTAAGCCCATTCTCTGGCATAGTTTCCAACAGAATCCAAAAGTATGTTGAAATTCACATTCCAATTTACGGATGGGGTTTCACGATATTTAGGACCCTTCTAGCGTACCTTTTTGAATAATGCTTTTTTGTAGTTGAAATGTTTGGATGCAATTGGCACAAGTAACTGTAGGAAATTACAGGAGTGTTTCTATTTTGAAAGTATGGTGAAATGTTAGTCTGAACAGACTTCTGATGTTAAATATTGCTGATATTTATAGCATCCTGTCCCTTATTCACAAATTCAAGTTTCATAAATTGACGAGTTGTCGGAGGATCGTGACCATCTGTACGGACAGGTAATTAATGCAGTGTCTAGTGTTATTTCGAAAACTGTTGTATTAAAAATGATTTATTTAATCACCGACCAAATATGATATTCAGTAATCGCTATTTAGTCATATCTACAATACTTTCCCGCATAATTTTCAATCTGTAATATTAACTAACCATTTTCACCAAACCTCACAAAATGTGAGATTCTATCGCAAAGTTGTGCGCACGATACAGTATAGTGTGCGCGGACGATGTGCGCACGAAGATGTTTGTTGTTTTTTATATGTACTATGTATGTTTTTCAGTATTTTCAATATGTTGGTTTGAGCAAAGAAATGATTGTTTTCGTTTCCACTGACACTAATACAATCATAATAGAGTATGTCTCTTTAGTTTATTTATTTATTATATCATTAATATTTTTAACTTCTTAATTGTTGCATACCTACGGAGCCCGTTAACTGACATGCTCCATACTTATTTTATTTCGTTTTTTCGAAATAATATTTCGTTAAAACGAATTATTATTTCGAAAAAAAACGAAATAATATTTCGAAAAAACGAATTAATATTTCTAATAAACGAAATAATATTTCGAAGAAACGAAATAAAATAAGTATGGAGCATGTCAGTTAACGGGCTCCGTAGCATACCATAAGTTCATAAACGGAGGATTTAACCTTCTAGTGCGTTCGATGTTCTATCATGCTTTTCTGTCATATTCCTTCTTTTGTAGGTATAGGTAAAACACTTGTGAGATACAACACTACTGTTATTGCATTTACTTATTTTTCATTTTTTGCCTTTTCGTCAATTTCGGGACGAACTGAATTAAAATTAAACAACCATGGGTTTTACTACCTAAATAATAGAATTAATATGCTATTCGATTATAAATATCATGCACTTTTTATGTTTGAGAATATTTGAGTTGTGCTGGAAATATAATTAAGATATAATTATTAAACTTAGCGGTGCGTTTCATTGGTTTTGAATTTTCAATTAATTGTTTACTTGAATATGATATATAAATTACATTATATACATTTACTTCTATCCAGACAACACAGTAAAACATCAGAACTAAGAAAATCCACAATATTAAGATATTTTATTGATTATATTTCCATGAGAGATACAAATATATATACTCTGAAATGACAATAAAAGAACTAGACAACAAGTTTGATCAAAAGACGATGTCCAATCATAAGCAATACTAATACCTAGGTCATCTTTTGATGTGAAGGACATCTTTTTAATGTTTTTAGGTCATTTTTTAATGCTTTTAGAACATGTTATGATGATGCTTTCAGGACATCTTATGATGTTTTCAGGACATCTTATGATGCTTTTTAGGACATCTTATGATGCTTTTTAGGACATCTTATGATGTTTTCTGGACATCTTATGATGCTTTCAGGACATCTTATGATGTTTTCAGGACATATTTTGATGCTTGGGTACATGTCCCTGTAAATTATTAAAAGCACGTCGTAGTAAAATGTCAACGTCTTCTGACCAAAAGGAGTAGATGACCAACTGATCAGTAGGAAAGAGTTTGTAGTTGGGAAAGATAACACAAAGACATAGTTACTTGATGCTTGAAACGCTATAACGGTTGTAAAAGTATATTATTGTAAATACGACATGAAGTTATGTACATCACTAACCAGAATATGAAATTCAAAGTGTTAATATACAATGTTTGTCTCATCGATTACAATACACTTTTTCGAAACTTCTATTTCAATGGTTTGCAACTTTCAATAGAATTCAGGATCACCCATCTAACAAAAACAGAACCAGGTTTATTTCTAAACAATGCATCACATAGCATGAGAAAACTTTTGATGCACTCAGTAAATCAGACCAAATATATTTTTCACGTGTCCCCATGTTAGAAACCGTTCTTCAGTTTCACTGACATTTCCTCTGTAATGAGTTAATGAAAGTGTACAGATACTTCTCTTTCCTGATCCTAAGCAGACCAAACTTTTTTTTATCAAAGTAGAAATAATTGTTGTAATGTAACACTATCTCGAAACTCATTTCTATGATTAAATTCAAAGAATGGTACTCTTTCATTTCATGGGGAATGGATTAAACAATTTCAAAAATTATCAAACTTTTAGAAATCCAAATGCAAAAATTAATGAGCTTTTGATTATTCCTGAAGTCTGAGCCTTGAACAGCCAAAAAAGAACAAAGCAAAGATATTGCCTTTAGATAACCTCTTGATGAACTAATCTTAAATTGTAAAGATATAGATTTGGGTGTTCAGACCAACAAAATCAATGTAGCCAGAACTTGTAAAGTAATTCTAGTAACTCCTACCACCTTAAAGGAATTTGCAAAATGTATAGTAAAATATATCTTGAGTTTCGAAACAGCAACTTTGTTTACTCAGACATCGTACATTCCATACATACTGTGCAAGTATAACAATACAATTAACAACTATTCCATAATATTATACATAAATATAGTAACACATACATAATGTATTTATATATATTTTATACACAAATCACTCAAAATCCTAAATACATAGGAAAACAATACCAGGAAAAATTCTGGTTTGGTAGTAGTAATGAAACATCAAAATATCGACATAAACAGATAGAAGACCACTGGAAACATTAACATGCATGGCCTCAATATGTTTGGCACAGAACAAAAATGACCAACCATATTCTTTCTATAATGGAGGCAGTCTTTCAACCTGAGGAGAACAGTTGTACAAGAATTGTGAAATCATATAACCTAATATTTATATGCCTTATTAATTTAGGGATAAGAAAAACTGTTAAAACTCAGAATCACCAATAGCTTGAAAATTTTGAAATATTTAATATTTTTATCTGTTAAGAATCCATAAAGGTCTAAGAAAAAATCCGTGATTGGAGTGAAAAAAACTGTTTTTGCTCAACTATAGAAATGAATTGTCTGAAGACAAAATAATGCCCGACATATCACACAACCAACTATATCAGCACTTGGCATTTGCCTCACTTTTAGTGACAAACAGAATCATTCCTGAGCAGAAAACAGATTTTCTCAATTTTACATGGCAGTCTTTCTTCTTTTACAATAATCAGCTTTGAAAAATTAATTTATATGAGAAGCATGAATATTTTGATTTTTTTTCTTTATCAGAAAATGAAGCCCCAGCGAAAAAGTTATGTCATGCTCTCGCAATATATGTATTTAACGGACATAAATCAAATTAATATGAACATTAATTTTTCTTCATATCATGACTTTTATTGACACTGCAACAAATCACGCTAAAAATACCATTATTTCTACATTGCTTTGTTTCTATTATCGAAAATAGAAACTCATACCTTAAAGTGAAAAAAGACAAATTGAAAAAAAAAACCCAAAAAATAAACTATATTGGCTTTATCAGCAATTCAAATGTACTAACAATTATTTAGAAATACAGCACAGAAGGGAAAAGTAATGTAATTGTGATCACAGGAAACAATCTATAGTTCACTAAGAAAAAATACTTGTGCTTTGTTCACCTCAATTTAAAATAAACCTCCTTTTATCGCAACTCTGATTGGAACAAGGAAATATTTGACATGACACGCCCTTTCTCAAGCAGAATTATTAAGCAAGACCACATGACAAATATCAGAGACATGTCTGTAACAACCATCACCAACGGCTTCTTACCAACTTACAATGTTAGTTAGCTGCATCTCTTAAATCGGAGAACAGTAGAAGTACACATGTACATACAAATACAGGTGAGACTCAACAGCTACTTGTGAAGGCAAAGAGAAAATACACCATATATCACATTTAGACATTTCACTGACTAGTATACAAATACTTTGTCATGAAATGGATATTTTTCACATCAAGTATGATAAGTATTTAGTAGACTTCTTGTATTGTGATAAAACTGTAGTTGAAGTGTTTGGTGATTAAGTCTAATATCTTATGTGCAGTATATATATCATGTTAAACAACACAAGCTTGAAACTGCTACTATTTTGTACACTTGATACCTTAATAGTCGTCAAACTACAATGGGGCCATGCAAACTACAATAATTCTTGCCCTTATGTGCTCTCTTTCGATAATTATCTAAACATGTACAGTTGAAGAGCTTAATTGTAACGAGTACAAATTCATGCAAAATAAAAAGTATCTGTTGATTAATTATACTAAACACGGTAAGTTTTTCTCCAATTAGAAATATCCTAACGATTTTTTAAGAATTATAAGACAAATATTAAGGTCATTTAAAAGCAATTACATATAATAGAAATGTGGTAATATTCTGTAAAAAACATACTGAACATTAATGCATTTATATAAACTTTCTCAGTTGTGTTACTAACGCTGGTTTTCATCGGAGTACACAAGAAAATCAATTTCATTGGTATGTAAATGTAACAATAAAATAAAAACTATTTTAATTTTATTGAATGCAACTAGCCAAATAGAATCCAGAATGTACAAGTCAGGGGAATTGCAAAATTTGTGAAAACATGATATCACAGATGAGTCCAATATTGACACCTATAAATAAATTTTACATACTTAAAATTCATAATCCATGAATTCCATAAACAGATAAATATTGTCAAAACAAATTTATTGAGTTAAAAGATTTTGTTTAATATATGACCAAGTATATGCAAACAATATTTTTCTTTTAAATTGTATGGTCCACTGGAAAAAGAATAACATAATCTTACTTATATCAAATTTGATTAAAACGTAAGTGATTGTGAGATATATACAATAAATGTAATATGATAATAAAAGTGCAATTTTGATGATTAAAATTTTTCCCTACATCCATCACATTTAAAATGACTAGCATATCCCCTCCAAAGAATAATGATATCATAAAAACAAATATATGTACATCATAAGATTGCTCGTTCAACATTTAATTTCCTGTTTTCCAAAATTAAAAATATTGGTGATGATGGAAAATCCAAAAGAGATAGATATTCATAATCTGAAATGGTATGTGATCTTTTATTCGTATCTTAAGTAGATAATGAAGATGAATATTATCATATCTAGTGCAGCTTCTTTGACCATTTTGTCAGTAAAGCCAGCAAAGCTCCATAACACAAACATTTAAAACTACATGATCATACTACTTTTGCAATGCTGTATTATATGACACAATAAGGTTATCCTTTTCCATTGTAGATATTACAAGGTAGCTTTCTGACTTGTCAGACTGGTTACCATTCTCCATTTGAACTTTCAGCAAATAAAATATATCCAACTAAAATATGGCAAGCTACTGGCTGATGTATTTAGCATATCAGGCCCCACTTGTATAAAACATCTCAACTTGAGATTTCCTCAAGCCTAGATTTTCCTCAGCTAATATCTTCTTGAAAATATCTTGTATGAAAATTCCTCAAGGAATTTCAGGACATCCTAGCCAATGACTTCCTCCTGTTCCTTGAGAAAATTTTATACAAGCCGTTTTTGATGAATATCAGCTGAGGAAAATCTCGACTTGAGGAAATCTCAAGTTGAGATGTTTTATACAAGTGAGGCCTGATAATGCACTTATTCTGACATTTGTAACTAAATAGGGAGATGAAGTCAATGTTGACTTATAAATAAAACCCATCTACACTTTTGGTTAGATATGTTAGTGGATGTTGTCACCACAAAAATTAGTTCCACATCTTAATAGAAACACAAACATACTCATAAGGAAATCAGTCCAGATGGACTAGATTTCACAATCCTTTTTTTTTTTTTTTTTAATGTGAATGGCAATAAGATTTACCAATTCCAAGGAAAAGAAAACATAAAAACAAACTGTGTTTTTATGCAAGATACATTTAAAATGGATTTGACACATCAGTGTAAACATTATATAACAATGTATCGTAGCATGAATGAAGATTTTTATGAGACACAAACATTAGTCTTACAAAACACATACTCATCACAGGTCAACATAACAGGGGTCATCTGAATCTCACAAAACAAAAAGGAACATAAATGACATTAACAGGACACAAATTGACAAATGTTTTCTTTGGCATCGACGAATTTCCACCTTAGTAATGATATAGCAGCATTAAGCAAAACTAATGTCCTACCATTACTTGTGCATCTTTAAATCCAAGGGTTTTGCTCTCAGTACAGATTTTTTGCTGCTCAAAAAATGTTGAGAAAAAGAATGTTTATAATAACTGTACATTTCAAGAACAGAACATTTGGGTTTTAAAAGTGAACACAAAGGTGACTTATGTTGTGTCAATCCAAAGTCATCATCAACATATTTGAAGACAAAAAAAAAAATAAATAAATCACCACTAGAGTAGTTTTCTTCATGAAAACTGAACTAAATGAAATTTGTTGAAAAGATGTTTGAAGTTTCCAGTGCGACGGCCCCGACCAATCTGACATCTACATGTAAGTATTAAGGAGATCACATATCACTGACATGCCATCGTCACTGAAATCAATGATATATTTAATATTGATTCTATGCAACTTTCGGTGGTCAGTAGACATTTCCTTATAAGGCTTGTCATTCCAGTATATTAAGGTGTTCAAGTAAAGCTTAATTAAGGCACCGTTCAAAACTTTCGTGGTACCACTGAAGTTATAATTGTGTTTATGACAATGAGGTTTCGTTACGACTTCTTCAATGAAACTACTTTACATCGATAATGTAAAATAATAAAATATCACTTTGAACCTATATTTCCGTTATACATCTATCATGATTAATAATTAAAGGGCGATCCAACACTCCTCATGTGGAACTTTGCGGTACGTCCTCGGGTAGATCCGTAGAGGATTAAATAAAGTTTCACATGGTGTATGTATCATAATTGTATTTTTGATCTTTGGTGAGAAGAAAATCAGACATCATGTGATTGTGATGATGAAATTATGAATGTGATATTCTTACAATCAACAACACATTACTTAAGGTACAGATCAGTTTTTGTGTCAATAACATCCATTATGAAACATCACAAATGAAAAAGGAAACGGTTAGGATGACTTTGTTGCTATTTTAACTGTGTATTAGACTTGGATGAAAAAACCAAGTTGATGACAATGAATTCTTAGCTCACAAAGATTTTGAAATGTTAATGAAATCACAGGTTATAACACAATACAAAATTTCAACACTTTGGAGTTGTGATAGAAAAATCTTACCCTAAAGAAGGAAATTTTGAAATCTCCAAACACAAGATGTGCATTATTTTTTAACTGACCCTGTTGGATTTTTCATCTGCATATTTTCTTAATTAGAGAATCAATACATCATTTTAAATGACATTACTGCATTGTGAATTGAATATTTCATAAATAGTTATGACAGGTAAATCCAATCATCCCAAACCCACCATTAGACAAAGACAATATACACGTACATTTGTAAACGTAGCAAGCCTGGATTCACCTGTCCTGCATTAGAAGAAATTGAGTCATCAAGGATGGATATGAAATCCTCAAAATAATCTTTGACCTTGATGAAATTCTCTTTAGTAAGACATCATGGATCTAACATTGGTGTCAGAATATGTGCGTAAATTTCAACTCTGGAAAAGTGGCACATGTAAAAGTCAGTTGTTGGCCCAGAATCAATACCAATCATGAAAGAATTTTTTTCTACAAAACATTGCTTTTTTCAAAAGTAATATCCCCACCACGGAGAGCTCCAATCTCCAGACTTCTTTTAAAAGAGAGAAAGCCTGACAACCATTTGATCAGTCATAATATTTTAGATATCAATTTGTTTTCTGGAACTTTATAATTTATTTCAAAACTGTCTTAAAATGCCAAAAATAACCTACATCCTTTGTATGACTTTTCTTTCATTCATTTGTAAGTCAGTCAGATGCCCATGTTCAAAAATGTAAGTTTTCCAAAACAATGAAAAAAGAGTATTGTTTTTTACAATGTAACTATAGCATGTGGTATTAAGCAAACCTGTTATTATAAAAACACTTTTATCATGTTAGTATGTCCCAAGTTGTAATATGGCTATGAGAGAAACCTAATGTAAACAAGACACACATCTCAATTCTAGTTTGATTTTCCAAATAAGGAGAGAATGATGAGGAACAAGTACACGACATCAATGTAAAGCTGCAGGGCGCCGTAAATGTACTCCTCTGGACTCAGTTCATGCTTGCGGCCTCCTACAATCATCTGCGTGTCATATACCAGGAACTGTAGAGATACAAAAAACTTTGTGAACAAGGAACTCTAAAGATAAAACTGACAGTCAAATGAAAAAAGATACTGAAAAGATGACCAGACCCACGGTCATTAGTGGTCATCTAGCTATAAGATATACAATATAACTGCAGTTTTAGTAGGACCAGTCGTCAAGGAGACAAAAGAATTCTCCAACAATTAAATATTTTCAATAAATAAATCATTTATTGGTTTCTGATTGATATTTATACATCATAACAAATCTCAGAGTGAGTTTCTAGAACTTACCACGCAGAAAATGAGAGCAGCCACACCAGCATAAACACAATGGAGAATCTGAAAAACACAACATTTTACATCAGGGACTATCCAGTTTATAGATGACTACATCCAGTCCTGGGGTATTGTAATGACACATTACCACAGAAGTTTCTCTAAAGTTTTGAAGCTAAACTGTAGCACAAGTTTAATAAATATTTATCTCATCTTGTTATGATCCACCTCAGGGAGCTGTGATTGGCTGAAGGTCCTGTTTCAATTATGACATCATTATTTAATATGGTATGAGATGTATCGTAATTTCACCAAAGAAAAAGGTACTCAACACTTGTATCATCCAATTAATCAAGATGTAATTTTCATGAATGCTTGAAAAAATATCTTAATAACATGTTAAACAGAATTTGTCATTTCCATTTCAAATGACAATTATCAAACTCTTTACAATTTCTTTTTATTCTAATTCATCAATTACTCACTGGTGATGTATAATGGCTCTGGATTCATTTAAGTATCAACAATTATAGTAATGTTCATCTATGAAGATAAACTATAAATAGACGGAATACATCAATGACTAATGTTAATCCATGTTTGACTTCTAGTGTTTAATATCCTATCCACATCTAGGACCATTTAAGGACGGCCTTCAGGTGTATGCCAGGTAAGTGCATGTGTTGAATTTGTGTCCTTTTGGGAGGTTGCGATATGGTCATATAAACATCTATGTGCCTTGTGATAGTATTAAACCAAATCAATTAGAGGCATGTCTACAACCCTGAGACACTGAATAGTACACTCACATAGCTGAATCCAATTGTTAAGTACACAATCAGCACAGACCAACCGAAAAAGAAGAGGACCATGACAAGAACAAACAACAGTCCATGGCACATGGTGAAGTCAACCTGTGGAAAAAACATTCAAAGTTAACATTTGTTAATGCTGGTACAAGTTACTTATCACTGATAAAGCATCACCAAATTTTACATCACACAGTGTTTCATCTTTTACAAGATTAATATCCATTAATTATGAGCCAGAATTCTGTGATACAAAATATTTGTTATGTCTGTTCCAATTGAATATATCTCCGAATCTTGTTTGCTAAACAGAAATCAATAAAATCAATTGAAAGGTCCTCTTAAAAGGATAAAACTTCCAAAGCACTCAATAATATTGTGTCCATATCAGAGAGGTGTTTTCACAAGCAAAAATCAATGTAACATATTTGTTTTGTTCATATCACAAAGTGAATAAAATAAGATTGAACAGATCAATGAAATGCATTTAATTTTCAAAAATTGCATAAGTGGTTTGTGTCCTGATCATGGCAGATGTAGTAAAGAAATCATTTAGCTCTAGTGCATGTTACATCTCAGACATTAAAACTACACTGTTTCTTGTCTTTTATTTATTCTTTTTTATTTATTTATTTATGAGTATGTTGGTACAGATATTTTACAAAATCATGTTAGAGGAACATTTCACAGATTGTTTTCTGTCTATTTAATGCAAGATGACCTATATATACACGAGTGGCTGTGATACAAGTTCAATGACATGTCCCAGACATTAGATGAATATGCAGGCCAACCATTGGAAATGTTGTTTGAAATGAAAGAATTCATCGGTAACAAATCTAATATTATGAGTCAGTAAATACTTGATAAATTTTACTGGAAAATGACAACTGAAGATCAATCACTGACAAAATATTGTGCAGTAGTTGGACAATTTGTAGCCATGGTTTATTTGATTGATTGATGCAGTATAACAGTGTCTTTTATCACATTCCAGTGAATTACTCTTAAATGTGACAGATATGTTTGATTTTTAGCTGCAATTAAAAAAAAAAAAAAAACAAAATATTCAATAAAGACAATTTTAGATTAACATATGGTGGGTAAGAGGTAAGTGGTGAATTGTGTTGATAGTTATTCCTTCTTAACGTACTCCCTCAAGATGTATGTATGACGTTACAACGTTACATTGTCTTACCTTGGTCTGAATAGCAAACAAGGAGACAGACAGGCAGACAAGAGCAGTAATTCCTGCTGCAATCAGCACACTGTATGTATCGTAAAAGCTGGAACATATAAAATTGTAGTATATACAGCAGACGTACACACCACACACTGTATGTGTCATAAAAACTGGAACACACAGCAAATTCAGAACAAAGAGTTGCATTAAATGTAATGTCAATGTAGATGTAGCAGAAGGCAATACAATATCAGCACTCGTTTTATAAGCAGCAACACAGCATATCAGTCATAGCTAGAAAAATGTGTACTTTTATCAAACAACCCTATTCACCCTATGTATTTCAAATTAATCATTCAGTCTACGTTTTTTCTGACACAGGCAGAATTTGTTTTACTAAAACTCACCTGGAGATAGTGCCGACCATGTAAGAAAACACCAACGTCTGAAAAATATTGCAGAACAGGGAACTGAAGAAAATTTCAGAGTTACTATAACAGTAATATTTACTGAACAAGAGATCCCAGAAGAATCTTGGCACCCACCTTTATTCAATCTTTATTTGTTTTTTAAAAGTTGGATCTTTTCTCTTCTTTTCTCTTTTTCCTCTGTTTTGATTTTTATCTATATCAAATTTGAAAATTTTCTATGAAATAGATATGATAATCATCAAATGCAAAATACAAGATGGTTGCTTTTGGCCATTTCATTTTTCTAATCATTCCAAAAACATATGAAATTGGAGAAAGATCCATTATATGATTCTCAAGCAGTAGTGATGAAAATCTTTCATTGTCCAAATCCAAGATGGCTGCATGGCAAAAGGGAACCTATGTATGAAATCTGAGAAAGGTCCTGCAAGTACTTTACAAGAAATAGTGATAACAAGAACTGTTCACTGACAGACAAACGACAAACCACCGATGAAAGGTGATTTGAATAGAATCACTTCTATCTCCAACAAGATAAACTGAACAAATCATTGTGCTAGATGTTCTTTTTTTAGCTTCATATAGGAACTAAGCTTTATTCATTATCAGATACCTCTGTCTTTATTGGCCTACTCTAAAAAATTTGCAAGAGTTACTGCCCCTAGCTCAAGATTGCTCCCACTGCTTACAAAATCAATGTATTCTCTACTCTTAGTTTAACAACATGTACTGCAGTTACCATTCACTTAAGATGCAAAAGTTTTAAAAAAGCATCATAAATTATATATTATGTAAACTTTTTCATTCTTAGTACACCTATGTTATAAACATCCAATGATAAATGACCAATTTTAAATTCTTCTGAGGATAATTTCCACTGAAGCTAACGTTCCTTTAAAATACTTTCCTAATGCTGAGGTCTAGAGTAATTTTTTAATTCAAGTAGACTTACAAACACACACAGGCAGATGTAGTTCCCCGGGGTCTTCCTCCGCACAGATGGAATACAAACCAGGACAAAGTATGTCACAATGAACGTGGCACTGTAAAATAATGTCAGATAAGTTCAAAAACAAATCCTAATGCCAACAAATGATCTAACACCTCTTGTTTGGCCTGTATAAACCCTTTAAGACAATCCAGGAGTGTGGTATTATTTTGTTTACATGCAATTTGATAAAAAGAAGCAGAACTACCTACTATCTCCTATTTCATATGCAAAATTATACATCCCATCTTAAAAATTATATGTTCTTTTAATAACAGGAAACTTTCATCTCCTCCTGACTTTAATTTGAAAAATAATAAAGTTCTGATAATGAGTAATTACAGTATATCATATTCATAGGAAATCAATCAATTTGCCAGGGTCGGCATTACATATTACCTCCCACTCAGAGTTAGGATTTTCAAAGCAGAATGAAATAGAAAAAAATATCTAATTCTGCTGTCTAAGAAACACCATGAGTGGGCTTGTTACAATAAATGTGAAACTTGCAGGATAAATATGGAAATCAACTCAATCAATATAGAGTTTGGGTTTCTATTGTGATTTCATACATCATTAATCATACATCTTACTATGCTGCATAGCATGAGTTTTAAACATGAATTACAGCAATGTGACTAAATAGACTGTACTTACTAGGATACATAGTAAAATATGCGACCGTCTCCTTGGACCCAATGGCTAATTTCATCTCTGAAAAAAATAATGTGGATCATTGAAATACAAAGTCAAAGAAAATTGCATCCAGGTTCACAATCACCACTGATTTAACAAACTCCAAGACTGTTGGAAAATCTTTCTATTACACCTCTCAATTCATAATACTGATTATAAGATCACAGATATTGGTATATCTGTCTAGAATTCCTTACTAACCAGTGTTTTACCTAAAATATCTTCATATATGCATAAATATTTGTCTGCTTATGCTTCATCAATCATGACCTGTCTTCCTTAAATGTATTTCTTCAATATGTAACTGTTGATCATCATCTGAGTTCCATTGTAATAAATACTGTAAACGATTAATGTATAGAAGTTGAATGCAAACAAAACTTAAAAATCATGATATACTTACACGAGTGAAAACAGTGCAGCACATCCAAATGTAAAGAGAAGCTGGACCATGAGGATCAGGTAAACCTTCAATAAATCATACATCTCAGCAAGATAGGGAATGTGTAGGATTTGTAAAAAATTTTAAAGAAAGATGTTCTACCTGGTTGATTTAAGTTTTGCTTGTAAACTAATTTTTGCATCAACTCTGAAAAAATTAACACATAGAGCAAATGACACTGAAATAGCTATATTAGCTTCAATTGTGACAAAGAATCTGTAAAACTATATTGATGTAGAACCGTTGTCCAACTGCCAACTCATTATTCCTCCCCCCCCCACTCAGTATCAGTATTATATAGGAGTATAAAAATGTCAACAGGATCTCAGTTTTTGGTTTCCTTTATGGACCTATATAAAGGATAGGGTCGAGGCGGCTGAAATACAAATGTATAGCACACTGCACCCCACATGCAGGGAACTGCCGAGGATGGTGCAGTCATCAAGTTCCATGAAGACACTTATGTATCATGTAAATGTGAAGTGTCTATCCATATATTTTACCTTTTTGATAAAACTGCGTCTGATGTTCTTGTCAGAGAATGATGACATATCTCCCATTGGAAATGAATCATTAGGTGTGGCAACACGGCTTGTGTTGGAATGTTCGGCAGTTTGACCGCTCCAGTTTACGGAGCTTGCTACTGGTTGAGTCTGTTGAGGGTTGTATGATTGATTTGGATAGCTAGATGCAGGAGCTGCCATTCCTTCTTGTCCATATCCACCACCTGAAAAATATTAACTTTTCACACTAGCCAAAAATAGTCATCCAAAACATAACAATATTATTTTGAGACATTCCTCACAATCTATGGGTTAAAGGAACCCAATTCACTGTGAACAGTTTTATATACGATACTGCATGGACAACATCAAATTAAGAAAAAAGTGTTTCAAAGAATGTCACAGGTACCAAACATCAGGCCAGATTAAGCAGGTGTGCAGTATTAATCTTTAGGTCTTACTAACAAGATTGCTCGAATTAGGACGTTGGCATCCTCGATATTCCTGGGGTTACAATAACCACTACTGCCTGCACCCCTGAACCATGTCATGGCAAAACTGAAGACACAAGTGAAGAAATTTAATTGGTTCCAGGGGAGAAAAACTGACCAGTCGCAGGCTGATACGCTCCTTTTGAAGATTACAAAGGAAAAATGACCATCTTCAAAACCATTACAATACACCGTTATGCGTCCTTAAGATTCTTGATTCATTGATGTACATTAAACGATCAAACTAGTCTTTTTGTCATGTCCACAAGGAGAATCAAGGATGGGAGATTGGATCATTGAAATTTAGTAGGAAACCATACAGTCTGGCAACACTGGTCCGATTTGGTGATAGAACACTGACCTGTTTTGGAGAAACTGACAAATGTATATACTGTTCTTATATAACTAATGTATCTTACTGAGACGGGATTCATCACAACAGCAAACTAAACAGTCAGAGCTATAATTAGATGTCACCATGCCAACTGATTAAATTCCACACAGATCAGGTATCTGATGTTTGTTACACTGCTACATAATCTGTTCGACTCACGTTTAGTAAAGGTAGTTGTCTATGGAATGTCCTGGCCATATGAATTTTGACTTCAAGCTAGTTATAACATTACATTAAGAGAGTATCACGTTAACTTTCTGTTTCTTTTAGATACCAAAACTTTACAATTTGCCCACTGATATGACTGAGACAACTGAATCCAGATGATAATAAGTTACTAGAGATCACTAGGCTCTTTGTCTCTTGTTAATAATATGAACATATTTCCATAAAGAAAAGAGAAAATGTACGTTCAGCAACATAAGTATATTTTTATCACACAATGTAATTAATTTTTAATCAGATGATGAAACCATTGAACTAATTATATTATACAGGTTGTAAAGACTTCTTTCCCGAACAGAGAAATAAGCATGTAAGGGACTGACTTAGAAAAATAAGAAATTTAGATCAGACAGGAAATAGAAATAGTAATTAGAGTGGCATCAGTTTAGAGAGATCATTATGTGGTCTCCAGGTTTAATTTAGTAATGATAGAAAGCTAAGGGCTTGTAGTGATTTGTCTAATAGAATTCATTTCTTGGTTGTATAAAGGTGTGCACACATGAGTTGTTATAGAAACCTTACTTTTGGATATCTGACCTAAACTAGTTTTTGTTGGTACTGTTATATATATATTTATAACAAGAAGATGGACAAAATTTCACAATCCTTCCAATGATGATTTATCTTCTTTAAATTGTCTTGTGACTCGGAGCATCTACCAATTATGTCGAGAGACTTTTCCAATAGTTAACTACCAATTACAAGTATATACATATAGTTATAACCACTGTAATTTGTGAACATGATGGGTTCAAGTTCTATTCACATGTAAAACTTCACTTGAATTGCTGAGTTCAACAATCACTAACATTATTTTATTATTTTGGTGAGAATTGTATCCTAGCTTGCATCCCCCTCCTTTACTCCCACCCTCCCCTCCAAAACACAAAAAAAGAAGAAGGAAAAAAACAACTGAATCATGTGTTTATGAGTTACTGAGTTTGAAAAGACATGTCCATTTCACGAATGTTTAATAATTTTGTTAATCTGTCAGGTTTATGATCAGATTTCTGAAATTGCCAAATGTCAAGGTTAAAATGAATGCCCTGTGAAATGTATAGACAGGAAGCATCACACACAGCGCATCACAAGGAAAGCTACATTCAGTATATATGATATGTATGATCACAACACATACCATATGTATAACCCCCTTGTTTGTTGTCTTGGTGGCCAGTTGCCATGTTATAGGATGGAGGAGGTGCTGAAGGATAGCTTGTCATGATGGCGTCTAATGATCTGTAATAAAAATAAAACAGTCTATTTATGATTAAAGTACATCAATACAACATTGTTTCTATCATGAGCAGGCAAACTCGCAGGAGCATGAGTAACCATGTACAAATTGACAAGTACACACACTTTTTTTTACTTCTGCCAATTCACCAGTTTCTTCCAGTCAAATATGGTCATTTCATTCTCTAGACCCTACTGGCTAACAATTTTATTACTTCACCATTTGACAGTGTGAAACAAAGGGCAGTAACTCTGGGACATTAGAATAGGTCATTTAGGAAGAAGGATTGTCACCTTATGGTAGTTTTGAAATGAAGAGTTTTGGATATGGGTGAGAAAATCCTGTCTAGTCACATTTGGGATGTACAGGTTGGTTGTTTTAATGGACTGAAATGTAAGCCAAGTCTGATTTCCGAGTCATCAGGAAAAACAAAACAATATAATAATGATGAACACATTCTACAATGACGACATCCCATAACTTTAATGATTACCACCATGTTTTACTACTGATCTTGTCACTAAATCACATAGAAGCATCCCGCATCATGTGACAACTATGCAAGCAAACTACACCTACCACTGCACTTGAGAAAGTCTTCCACTTGCGGTCATCAGTCACACACTATCTAAACAAATGACTATGATTACCAAGGCACCTTTTCCTTGTTCTACACCCCCAGTCAATGTTTCTGCCCTAGCTTTCATCTTGTACTCAAAACAACTGTTGCCCTCTCCTACTTTTTGAATCCTCTCAACCATAATCCTTATATCAATTAGAAGACCCCAATCACAAATTCACTTTCATTCTGTCATGTATGTATGATGTGTGACAGTCTGACTACAACACATCCAGGCCATTATGATACTCTATATGATTTTTCAAATACATAATTCAACTGTTATGTTCATAGTGTGAAGTTCCATAGTTTCGAAAACATTTAATCACTCTAATTTGACGGAACAAACATCTAACCCTTCTCAAATTTGACTTTCATTAAATTATAGGATATCATGGTTTTGTTTGTCAAGTAGCGTATAGTAACACTTTCAGTGTATGTGCCTATTTCTGTGTGTCATTTTCAGACTGTGTTAGTTGTATGGTACAACTCCCAAATAAAGACATTTTGAGTAAAAATTCCCCATGATCATTACCAGTGGCGGCAAGGTGACAAGGAAATAAAATACGAAGGTTGCCTGTCGAAGACAAAGCATGCAGGGTAATAAATATTTACCCATTAAACTTACTGTTAGGCCTACAATCTTGATTTCAAAATAATCCTAATTATAAAATAGAAGTTCAATGAACTAACGTAAAATACATGGGTTTGTAACGACGTACTAATGGGTGTGAGGTTATAACGATTTCGTAATATTGTCAATAATGTGCCCCTGTGATCGATGTAAACAAACGCTCCAAGGTATAAAAGACAGCACATGCCTTATATTTATATCAATATTATAAGACACAACGCGTCCATCTCTTATCTTGGCCGTTTTTTTATCATTATCTACTTCAAATACAATGTTCTGAGGTTAATACATCAACAAGATGAAGGTGTCAGGTCAGGATGGATTGTTTACGTAATAAGATTACAGGTTTCACATTTTCGGAATATTTTTTGCTTCGTGAAGATTTCAATAATGTTTTACGATTTTGTCTTTTCGACTATCTACAACTGGGGAGTACTTACTGGACTATTTAAGCGCCTAAAACACTGACAGAAACCCGGAAGCGAAAGTAGGTTTGTAGTTGGTATGCTCGAATTTCCGTCGCGTGAGAGATGTCAGCGCCATGAGATGTGCCAGGGCGCATGCGCGTTACTGTGGAAATTAAAGGGACAATATCTGTTCCGTACAGCCGTCTACCTGGGTCGCTTTGAAAGAAAAGTATTTTTTCCCCACTAACACGCGATGACTGTGTCGTTACATGGCGTGAATTAAAAATAAAGCAAATTGATAACCTTTATATATCATTTTAACGCAGCAATTATCCCGTTACTGAAAGCGCGTTAATTACTTTAACGTGCTAGTTTTTTTATATTGCTTTCATTTGGTAGCGGTATGTATACTATCTTATCTTACTACTTGTGTCTACTTTTTTCTCATTAACCAATTTATTATTATTATTTGTTTTCTTTTAACTTATTCTATGTTTACATACATTCTGGTAATTGTTATTATTGTTTTTCGGTATATTAGGAATTCTCGCCATTTCACCCAATCTTATGTTGCATGCTATGATACATCGTTCTTGGTCTATTTGCTTACTGTGTGTTAGTGTGCAGATCCCAATTTGCTTTTATTGTACATGCTGTAAAATATATCGATACTTTTTCTTGCTAAAAAGATGATACAGCTGTTTTTGTTTTCGTAATTTCACCAATAATACTTTCAGATACTTTCATCTTGCAGGATGTGATTTATCATATACATATATATTTACACATATTTTTCAAATATAAAGGCTGAATTCACAGTGTCCGTTGAAACATATTAAAATAACTTCAAACAACACATCTCATTGAATTTAACATGAAAGCTTCCATTTCCGAATCTTCACGATGTTTAATATTTCCATATAAAGATTCAGAGATGAAAAATGCTAATGTTTATTTCGACATGTTGTATGAAGTTATTTTAACATACAGTTCCCAAATACAAGATTATTCACCCATGCTTAATATTTCTCTTATATTTCCTTTTGTCATTAAATAATTCCTTGTTTCGTCAGATACATTGATGTTTCCTTTCTTTCTTCTCTTCATTTCTGCTCACACTATACTCTACATGGCCTAGAGGTTACGATAAGAGAGGTCGTATTTCTGCCCTAATTGGTTTGGCTAGGCATCAGTATAAGGGGATATTTCCCCTCATTACAAATCAAACCCCGATAACATACGTCCGCTCTCAGCCAAACTCACGTCACACCTCGTGACATGGACGCTTTCTTGATTGTGACAAATGTTCTTATCATTCAACTTTCCTTGTCTATAAGAGTCTTGGGTAAGTAACTTTTCTTTTATGATCGAAAAATCAAAATATTCGCATTCAATTTTAATGGATGTAAACGATTTTATGAAGAACCTGACATGTTAAGTAGCTATAGCGGTCTCGATCGTAGTATATTGTAAGGTATAGATATACAAACGATAGAGACATAGTGTCAACTATAACTTGTCTATTTTGTAAAGGAATGTAGTCCCTGGTTATATTATGTATTTAATCAAAATAAAAATTCCCCTGAAACATGTCGAAAGCATATCATCCACGTATACATGTATATATATATATACAATAAGTTTACTACAAATCACAGCCATAATACTGAGTTAATAGTACAAACACATAAACTCTGGTTGACAAAAGTGAATGAATAGATATTGATATCACAGAAATAAGACATTGTTGCGATAGAATAAGCGTTTAACATGGAAACGCAAGACCTATTTCAATCATAAGGACTGTATGGACATAACTCAAATAAAAAGAGGTAGCCTTCAAAGAGAGACCCTTAAAAGTGCGAGCTCCTCTCTGACAATCATTGCGTCATCGTCATCTGTATCGTGAATGCTGAATCAATGCATGTCTACTCGGTGGAACAAATCACTATTTCTTACGATGTAACATAATTATACTTACATGGTAAAAAAAACAGTCACGAACCATTCCATACGTACATTGCGTGACTTTATTTACATATGTTTTACCCTGAACATAGTAAAAGAGTTAAAATAACTTATCTAATAATAAACTATTGATGTTCACCAACTACTGGCACTTAAATTATATATCCGTTGTAAAGAAATTACAAAGTCATCACTACCAACGGGAGCGTAAGAAATAACGCCCAATTAAAAAAGGAGAAAAAACATCTGTTTTATACGCCCATGAATGCCAACTGAAAGCAGTTCATTTATGCTAACCATGTTTACAGCTTAGTGGATGATAAGGTCTAAGTAATGAACGTTATATAATGTACGTAAACACATAAGAGAAAGTGCTGAGTATTAGACGTGGAGAACAATCCTTTAAGTTACTCTTTATTTACTCATATTTACTAAACGAAAACTATTTCATACACCGTTATTCTACACCCTAGTCCAAAAATAGACGTGCTATATATTGAGAATAAATTATATAAATGCTCATTTAGTTGCCGGATTAGATAAAGACAAAACATAAGTTTAAATGCACATATTTAGTGTGCATTGTATGATAGGACGATGTTTGACGCGATGGAATTTCACCGCTCGCGACGCTTTAATGAGGTGCCTGTGAGCGTTGACGACATGTTTACAGTCTACAATGGGATGAATGCCAGCTAGCTTGTTGATATTTGCCTACCTCATTATGTCTTTAGAGAAGATGGTACCAAGTCTTTAAATTGCATACGCATATATTCCTTGAGTCGTATCCAAGAGAGAATTTCAAACAGAATAAACGGAATCATGGGTCAAACATTCAAACAAATTCTTCGAAAGACGTATAAATTCCTAGAATAAACCAAATTACTTACGCGTTTATCTTACCCAAACGAATGAAAATCTCTTAACAAGTTTTGTAACAGAATGATTATGGTTAGTAATTGTTTGGATAATGTAATTTGCTGGAATGCATGACTCTCTCTTCCAAGGGGAGTAGATGGTTATATTATTTTGTAAAAAAGTGCACTTGTAAAGGCTTTGTAAACAGAGGTGTATCTGTTTGAGATATGTAAGTGTCTTCATATAGGAATAATACGTATACCATTAAGACCTATATGTTATATCCGTCGCTATTTATAGACAAACAATTGAGAACGTAAGTGCTTTACCTTTTCTTTATCATTAATGTCTGTATTCAAAGATTCTAACACAACTGCAATATTTATATTTAAATAAAGATTTTGCTGTGTTTGTTGAAAGTATTTTTGAAATTTCACGATGTTAAGTTTATATAAATAGGTGTTATTTTATCGCAGTTATAAATGAAAAACGAATTATGTTTAGATACTTTTGAGCTGTTTTTTTTTCAAAGAAAGCCTTTCCATTATGAAAGTTTTCAGAAACATACTTCGGGTTGCTTTTACTTCAACATTTATGTCTGTAAATAGAGTTATAAAAACACATAGAATAACATACGTTTGGTTTCAACACAATTAAAAGCTATTTGCCATTAAGAGCTGTTATCATGCCAGGGTCGACTAGGAAAATTTACAAGCTGGTGGAGGAGGCAAGGACGTGGTCGGAGGCCAGGGACTTCTGCAAGGCACAAGATGGGGACCTCGGTGTAGTCACCGACTTCTACTCAAGTCCGGGGCGATACCTTGCGCACGCTCTTGAGTCCACCCCTGACCTCAAGGCCTGGGTTGCAGGAAAAGGACATGATGATGGATGGGATTGGTACGATAAGCAACGAAAGCAAGGTAAATTTTTCTTTTTTTTTTTTTTTGAGAGAGAGAGAGAGAGAGAGAGAGAGAGACTCTGTACACCAAAAGTGACGCACTTGCTTCCGTATCGCGTGCATTCAGAGAAAATTTTGTGAGTTAGAGATTCAAAGTACAAGTATTACTGATAATTGTATTTCATTATAGTCCATATTCATTGGTAATTTGGATACATCTATGTCATTGTCAGATCCACGTTCTGTCCGACAAATGCATTGCAATCGGAATGTTATCAAAACCAAATTAAATCATTAATGTAACCCAATGATGTCGGAAGTCAAATAGGTTGTTTAAAACGTATCTAAACTATAGCTTAATAGTATTAAACAGGAATCAAACATACAACGAGGATATACAATATAAATCAGCAGAAAATGTCAGGTAATTCTTTTGTTATCAGATTCAGCAAAACAAGAGTTCCAGATAGTTACATGTGATACAGAATAGCTCTGTATCGCACTTTCTGAGAGATGGTATAAATGTTGATAGACCTTTCCTGAATTTCAGCTGGATCGGTCACTCCAATGTCACAGCTTATCGCATACAGAGGCTGCGTTAAGCCCGAATTCATTATGGGTGGAGTGCGAATGAAGAATAATAATGCTATGGATTGCTTTAAAAAATGTGAATGGAAAGGTGCTATTGCCCTTAAGGTAAGTATAAACTTACAAACAACACAACATGTAAGATTGGTGTCAAAGGTCATAGCAAATCATATACAAGCTATTCAGAAAGTTGTGAATATCCTTTTTTGATATATCTCGACCTGACTTAGGAGTGAAATGATACTCGGTTGCATTTAACATGTGTTATACCTTCCTTAGAGTTGGTATTGTATTTGTGAATGGCGTCTGCGAAATATCACGGTGACCGAAACTGACTACTGTGACATCACGTGTCCTGGACGAGAGGGCGAAAGGTGCGGGGGCATCCATGGCGTCTCCCTGTACCAAATGAGTAAGTTTTGTTGGAATATTTGTGTTTTATCTGTTTCTAGAATAAATACATTTTGTTGTAACATCCGTGGTGTGTTTCATATGAATGTTCATGAAGTGAAATTTTTGTGAGGATAACCTTTTGTGGAGATAAAATATCCCAACACCATGTTAATACCTCCAACCAGGTGGATGAGGGTTGTGGATGCATGTGCAAACTATGAAATATTTCTGCACAATCTAGTGGATATATATAAAACAATGATTTTAGATTTAGTAAATTTGTTAGACTGTCTATAGGTGCTTGTGGGTGTCAAAATTGAGCTAGTTTAAGAACTGTATGAGCCATATGAGATGCATTGGGTTTGTAAGGAGAGCTGCGAGGTATGTTTTTCTACACCTGCTGGTACTCAAGTTGAATTCACAGTTCTAGTCTTGGAATGGACTATAAAGTAAATATTGCGAGAATTTGTGGAGTAGTGCAGTTACAAGAAAAAAGACTGAAATCTTGTAGAGTTTGCACTCACGTTATCACTGGTACAGTAGGGTATTTTTATATTCTGTGTTTCTATGACAGATTAAAGCAATTTAAACGTTGTAACTACATTTCCTATCAGAATTGATCTTAAATGTTGTTTGTGGAATCGCAGATTCACGTGCCGTGCTGTGGGGGCAGGACGAACCCTTAGCAGCCAGGGGCTGTGTTTACGTGAACAGACCTTATGAGGACGAACCTTGGAGCTGGCACGCCTCGCACTGTCACATGATCAGGCGTTTTCTTTGTAAATACGGTAAGGAGGCCAATTATGTAAAAAAAAAAAAAAAAAAAAATCTATTGTGTTCGTTTATTTCATCAATGTTGAATATTTCTCATATACATATATATGTGAATAATTTGAATTTTAAACATGGTAGGTTGCCCTCTATTATCGCAATCTAGTGCCGAGGTAAATTCTCTACATAAGGAAGCAACTCCTTCTAGCCATGAAGTTGGCCCTATCAATTTAAATGTCCCAATGCTGCAGTTTTTATGATGCTTATGTGAATGATTCAATGGCGTATAGGACAGGTTGAACTTAAATTTAATGTTGCCCTCTCATTTTTTTGCGGATCAATCAAAGTATTGGAACCGAAATTAGCTAAACGAGTTAAGAATTTATACATCCTCTGCATTACACGTATTATTGAATGTTGATGTTAATCTATGTCCTTTGACCCAGTTAACATACATTACGTCTAGATGTGCCATACTCCATAGCCTGTGCTCCAATCTCCTATTCCTCTAGTCTTCAGTCAGTATCAAACGAACTCCATTGCTATACCCTCTCTGTATACGTTGCCCTTCATCCATTGCTTTTATAGCCTTCATGTTTCATATTTAACTGTAAAACTTCATTCCACTAATCGTCATGTCCAGATTATTATAAACATAAGAGTTTAGCAGTATTCGTATTTTAACGCCTTTAGAACTGAACGTATTATACTACAATACAATTCCGCCTACTGCAGTTTCTGCATGCTGATTATGTATCAAATTTTGAGGACTCATCATTGCGCTTATTAACCCTAACAAGATGAAAATGCGCTAAAATTTGATTACGCTAAATTAAGTTCGTTTACAATAACGACATTCCATTCCACGGTTCCTCAGGTTCGATTAACCATACACCATTACTCTACTCCTCATGTCTAGATTCACCGTACTCTAGTCCTTTTGTCTAGATTAATTCTTCTCTATTTCGTACTCCATTCCCGTAATCCTCACGCCCATATTAAGTGTACTCAATTCCTCTTTCCCTATCACCAGATTAAGCGTACTCCATAGGTCAATTTCTCATGTCCAGATTAAGAGTACTCCATAGGTCTGTTTTTCCTGTCCAGATTAAGCGTACTCCATACGACTATTTCTCATGTCCATATTAAGCGTACTCCATTTCGCCTTTCCTCAAGTCCACTTTGACAATACACTTTGCCTTTATGTCTGGTAACCAGATAATGCGTACTCTTTTATTCCTTATATCTCATTGTCCAGATTGACAATGCTCCAGAATCCTCTTTCCCTAATGTCCAGATTGGCTGTGCTCCAATCCTCTATTTCTAATGTCCAGATTGACTTTGCTCCAATCCTCTATTCCTAATGTCCAGATTGGCTGTGCTCCAATCCTCTATTCCTAACATCCAGATTGACTTTGCTCCAATCCTCTTCCCCTAATGTCCAGATTGGATGTGCTCTAATCCTCTATTTCTAATGTCCAGATTGACTTTGCTCCAATCCTCTATTCCTAATGTCCAGATTGGCTGTGCTCCAATCCTCTATTCCTAACATCCAGATTGACTGTGCTCCAATCCTCTATTCCTAACATCCAGATTGACTGTGCTCCAATCCTCTATTCCTAACATCCAGTTTGACTGTGCTCCAATCATCTATTCCTAGTGTCCAGATTGGTTATGTTCCAATCCTCTATTCTTAATGCCTAGATTGGCAATGCCCCATCCTCTATTCCTAATGTCCAGATGGACTGTACTCCAATCCTCTATTCCTAATGTCCAGATGGACTGTACTCCAATCCTCTATTCCAAATGTCCAGATTGGCTGTGTTCCAATCCTCTGTCCCTAATGTCCAGATGAACTGTGCCCCAATCCTCTATTCCTAATGCCTAGATTGACAATGCTCCAGTTCTCTATTCCTAATGTCCAGATTGACAATGCTCCAATCCTCTATTCCTAATGTCCAGATTGACTGTGTTCCAATCCTCTATTCCTAATGTCCAGATTGACTGTGCTCCAATCCTCTGTCGCTAATGTCCAGATGGACTGTACTCCAATCCTCTATTCCAAATGTCCAGATTGGCTGTGTTCCAATCCTCTGTCCCTAATGTCCAGATGAACTGTGCCCCAATCCTCTATTCCTAATGCCTAGATTGACAATGCTCCAGTTCTCTATTCCTAACATCCAGATTGACTGTTCTCCAGTCCTCTATTCCTAACGTCCAGATTGACTGCGTTCCAATCCTCTATTCCAAATGTCCAGATTGACTGTGCTCCAATCCTCTATTCCTAATGTCCAGATTGACTATGCTCCAATCCTCTGTCGCTAATGTCCAGATGGACTGTACTCCAATCCTCTATTCCTAATGTCCAGATTGACTGTGCCCCAATCCTTTGTTCCTAATGTCCAGATTGACTGTGCTCCAATCCTCTATTCCTAACATCCAGATTGACTGTGCTCCAATCCTCTATTCCTAATGTCCAGATTGACTGTGCTCCAATCCTCTGTCGCTAATGTCCAGATGGACTGTACTCCAATCCTCTATTCCTAATGTCCAGATGGACTGTACTCCAATCCTCTATTCCAAATGTCCAGATTGACTGTGCTCCAAATTCTCTAATGTCCAGATGGACTGTACTCCAATCCTCTATTCCTAATGTCCAGATTGACTGTGCTCCAATCCTCTATTCCTAAATCCAGATTGACTGTGCTCCAATCCTCTATTCCTAATGTCCAGATGGACTGTACTCCAATCCTGTGTTCCAATCCAGATGGACCTCCAATCCTCTATTCCTAATGTCCAGATTGACTGTACTCCAATCCTCTATTCCTAAAGTCCAGATGGACTGTACTCCAATCCTCTATTCCAAATGTCCAGATTGACTGCGTTCCAATCCTCTATTCCTAATGTCCAGATTGACTGTGCTCCAATCCTCTTTTCCTAATGTCCAGATGGACTGTACTCCAACCCTCTATTCCAAATGTCCAGATGGACTATGCTTCAATCCTCTATTCCTAATGTCCAGATTGACTGTGCTCCAATCCTCTATTCCTAATGTCCAGATTGACTGTGCTCCAATCCTCTATTCCTAATGTCCAGACTGTGCTCCAATCCTCTATTCCTAATGTCCTGTGTACTCCAATCCTCTATTCCTAATGTCCAGATTGACAATGCTCCAATCCTCTATTCCTAATGCCCAGATGGACTATGCTCCAATCCTCTATTCCTAATGTCCAGATTGACAATGCCCCAATCCTCTATTCCTAACATCCAGATTGACTGTGCTCCAATCCTCTATTCCTAATGTCCAGATGGACTGTACTCCAATCCTCTTTTCCTAATGTCCAGATGGACTGTACTCCAATCCTCTATTCCAAATGTCCAGATTGACTGCGTTCCAATCCTCTGTCGCTAATGTCCAGATGGACTGTACTCCAATCCTCTATTCCTAATGTCCAGATGGACTGTACTCCAATCCTCTATTCCAAATGTCCAGATTGACTGTGCTCCAATCCTCTATTCCTAATGTCCAGATTAGCTGTGTTCCAATAATGTCCAGATGGACTGTACTCCAATCCTCTATTCCTAATGTCCAGATTGACTGTGCTCCAATCCTCTATTCCTAATGTCCAGATTAGCTGTGTTCCAATCCCCCTGTCCCTAATGTCCAGATTGACTGTGCCCCAATCCTCTATTCCTAATGTCCAGATTGACAATGCTCCAATCCTCTATTCCTAATGTCCAGATTGACTGTGTTCCAATCCTCTATTCCTAATGTCCAGATTGACTGTGTTCCAATCCTCTGTCGCTAATGTCCAGATGGACTGCACTCCAATCCTCTATTCCTAATGTCCAGATGGACTGTACTCCAATCCTCTATTCCAAATGTCCAGATTGACTGCGTTCCAATCCTCTATTCCTAATGTCCAGATTGACTGTGCTCCAATCCTCTATTCCTAACATCCAGATTGACTGTGCTCCAATCCTCTATTCCTAATGTCCAGATTAGCTGTGTTCCAATCCCCCTGTCCCTAATGTCCAGATGAACTGTGCCCCAATCCTCTATTCCTAATGTCCAGATTGACAATGCTCCAATCCTCTATTCCTAATGTCCAGATCTATTCCTAATGTCCAGATGGACTGTACTCCAATCCTCTATTCCAAATGTCCAGATTGACTGTGCTCCAATCCTCTATTCCTAATGTCCAGATTGACTGTGCTCCAATCCTCTGTCGCTAATGTCCAGATGGACTGTACTCCAATCCTCTATTCCTAATGTCCAGATGGACTGTACTCCAATCCTCTATTCCAAATGTCCAGATTGACTGTGCTCCAATCCTCTATTCCTAATGTCCAGATTGACTGTGCTCCAATCCTCTGTCGCTAATGTCCAGATGGACTGCACTCCAATCCTCTATTCCTAATGTCCAGATGGACTGTACTCCAATCCTCTATTCCAAATGTCCAGATTGACTGCCTTCCAATCCTCTATTCCTAATGTCCAGATTGACTGTGCTCCAATTCTCTGTCGCTAATGTCCAGATGGACTGTACTCCAATCCTCTATTCCTAATGTCCAGATGGACTGTACTCCAATCCTCTATTCCAAATGTCCAGATTGACTGTGCTCCAATCCTCTATTCCTAACATCCAGATTGACTGTGCTCCAATCCTCTATTCCTAATGTCCAGATTGACTGTGCTCCAATCCTCTGTCGCTAATGTCCAGATGGACTGCACTCCAATCCTCTATTCCTAATGTCCAGATGGACTGTACTCCAATCCTCTATTCCAAATGTCCAGATTGACTGCGTTCCAATCCTCTATTCCTAATGTCCAGATTGACTGTGCTCCAATTCTCTGTCGCTAATGTCCAGATGGACTGTACTCCAATCCTCTATTCCTAATGTCCAGATGGACTGTACTCCAATCCTCTATTCCAAATGTCCAGATTGACTGTGCTCCAATCCTCTATTCCTAACATCCAGATTGACTTTGCTCCAATCCTCTATTCCTAACATCCAGATTGACAATGCCCCAATCCTCTATTCCTAATGTCCAGATTGACAGTGCTCCAATCCTCTATTCCTAATGCATAGATTCATCAAAATGGTGTTTTACATTCTCGATGGCCTTGCTTATAATTGTTCATATAAATATTTTTTCATTGTTGTACTCTGTCAGACGACCACCATATCTGCGGTGTCTACCCATCTTGTGTTCGGCCCTCCACCAAACCGGCGACGTGGGAGGACGCTGTAGATGAATGTCAGCTTAACAATGGAACCATTGCAACAGTTGACGTCACACACATGCATGAGAGTGATGAAATCATCACAGTTCCACCTGGTCAGTTCTGGATCGGTCTTAGTAAGCAAGAAAGCTGGAAATGGACAAATGGTAAATACAAAAATGTACTGTGGTTTTAATTCGATGAACATGTCTAAATGCTTTTCTTTCTTTCATCATCTTTTATTCCGATTTGTCTATTTCATATGTGGTGTAATATTCGGCGTCATTGCTAAAAATAAAAGTCTTATATGTCCCATCTTAACTTGATCAGATGTATGCACAATTTATGATTTCCTTGCCATACCTTAAGTTGGAGGCGATGAGGGGCTGTTTGTCTTCATGACAATTGTATTACGTCACATTAACAAGTGACGTCATGTCAATAATTCAATAACGTCACGTCAACAATGCTAAATACTGAGACAACAATAACATTATATACAATGAGGAAAAGCTTAAAAGTTAAGAAAAAAGTAAGCTTTCACCTTGTCGGTGAGATAGGGGGGATATCAACATCAGGAAGCAAATTTTCACCTTAGGCATATATCTCCCGCGGATTAAAAACCCTCCGTCTATTATCACGTAATAGAAGGAAATATTATATCAATCATAATGCTGAACCTATGGTTGATCAATACAATTATTAAACAATGTTTTATGAAGATGAGGTCCAGTGCTGACACTTTTGGTTAATTGATTGATACCAAGAATAATTCCTCGTTATGATATTGTGTCATCGGAACTATGAAAACTTTATTCCACATTGTATTCCAGGGGTACCTATTCCGGCTACATACTTCCATGCCGACCGGTATGATAAATGCACGAGCGACACGTGCGTCGTGTTACAAAAGAAAGGCGACCTCAAACTGGCCGGAGATTTGTGTGATAATAGGAGACCTTTCATATGTCAATTCTGTAGGTGTTCTCTACGATTACGTTGCCTTCTATATCATGACATATAACAGTTTATGTAAAAGTAGCACTTTAGTAGAAGGGATTAATATTATTAATGATTAAATGACGAATAACTTAAGGATGTGTTCTAGCGGATTTTCCCGTATTTTCTCTTTCCCAAAAAATATTGTCCTTGATATTTTTCTCTGGAAATATTTATCAGATTTGTGAAGTAACTCGGCAGGAATATAAAATATCAATCGTTGTACGTAAACTATACAGATATAATCCACGTACTGATTGCACCATTCATCAATATATTCGCCCAAACTGTAAGCATGTGGAGAGCAATGGTAGATCAATCGCTCTACACGCTGTACTCTAAATAAATTTTAGTGTCGGTAGGTAGCAATACCCTAGAATCAATTTAATCGCTCAAAAGAAATAAGTAAGCCACAGTTCGACGCAATAGATCACCCAGTTGATACCCCAATATGAACATAAGTATGAGGTAAATGTAGTTTATATGTTACATAGAAACACGCGGGTAAAATCAATATCCCTAATGTATTTCCGTATTGTTCCCTTCTCCTTAACGTGTCGTCATTGTCACTGTAAATTTCCATTTGAATGAAAAAAGAAATTTCAATGTGTTGAATTGCATCAACGCCACGCCCTACTAAAAAGGACAAATTATTGAAGACGTTTGGAAAACGATTTCGTTTGCATCGGTTCAAATGTTACGTATTAAAACAATAGCATTCAAATTGAGATGATTACTTTTGGTTTTTAATAACGATTTTCGGCATGATGCTGTTGTTTTTGTTTACGTTAATGTTTGATGATAAATGGACCCACATTCGTATATACATATCCACATTTCTTCGATAAATCACTTATCTTTATTGATTTCATAGATGTGGAGCACCATTCACCGGTCAAGAACCCACCCTTTGATCAGAAAGATGACCCCTCTGTAGGGGTTAAAGGTCGGAAAAACAATACCTCAACTGGGGACCCGGATGTTGAATCCAGAGAGGAGATGTACAAAACCGGTAAATATTGTGATCTGTAACAGACTTTCTGTGTGAACAAGATTATGATAAATTTTATAGAGTGCCTCGATACTATGAGTGATATTTTCATTGGCTACCGTAATTAATACAGTGTTTATGGTGGTTTCTGTTTGAAAAAGATTATCTCGTTGAAACGAGGGATAAGTTTTATCCGAAAAAAGTATACGGTAAACGTAAGTTAAAATTGCGCTGAATGCTGTTAACTGATTACTTGCTGATAGATAATACCATTGGTGATATTATCCGTTTTGTTTCAGTGATGTACCTGGCGATCGGAGTGGCCTCTGGGATGGCTTTCGTCTTCTCTATCTGTATCATAGCCTATGTGGCTAGACGGTAAATCTTTCCTTCTATATCAACATTATTAACATTTAAAACTAAACATGTTTTGTTTTGTTTTTGAGGCAAAAAAAAAAATCTGATTTTCATGTGTAATTTGATTTGTTTTTTGAGAAAATCGAACCATTTAGTAAACAAATTATTATTTCTAATAGTCTATCAGCAGTCTCTATAATCTGCAGTCTCGAAGATTGTACAAAAGACACAAAATGTATTGCACCATTGAATACAAATTTGGATAAGATAAAGTAGAGGCAAACAATGAAGTAAACTTCATCATACAGATGTTAAGTACTGGTTTTTGTCTAAGTATATAATAATTTTTGATATCTTGTAATACGCGGATGTCCCACAGGGTTAAGCTTGAATACGTACTGATATACTAGTTGTAAGACAGTACAGTTTAGTGTATAAAACTTGAAAGAAAGTTATGTTTTATAAATATGTTCGATATAGTTAGTCACATTTGGTCCGATTTGGTCACATTTTACATGTCACAGTTTACATGCAATTGCTTCGATATTCAAGGGCCTGATCCCATTACCACGATTTTCGTGCTGTAAGTCATCAACTGACTACCAAACTAGTAATACAAGAGTTCTAAAGATGCAGTGTGATGAACATTATGGGGAAGTTTTGTAGTCGCCATAGTGATCTCATTGAGAAATATTCTATTCCTTTGTATGAAATGAGACTTTGCCTGATGATTTCTTTCTTGTATACCTTGTTCTCATTTGAGAACGTGACATTACTTCCTTGAATTGACCAAGGTTTACATGGCGGTTGTCGTCGATGCAGCAGAAGACTCATTCAGATCACCGGGTTGTCCCTCTTGTCCTTTTTCTGGAGTTTCCTTTTAAACATTTCTTTTGTTCATACTTCGCCCTATTTTTATTGAATTTGAGTTTGGATTATGATTATGTTAACATGTTGGTATTTGCTTGATGTTTCTTGACGGAATTACTTTACACGTACATTTTTCATTTGCTTTTCGGCTTCAAACATCGTTGTCATTGAATCTGATGCATCTTTGTTTATCAATTTATATACTAACATACTTTGGAGATATCATTCAATGTGTCTTATTTGGCGCGATGTAGAACATATACAATTTTAATAAGTAATATAAAACACCAATATGCACGACTGTATTACATACATATGTAATCAATGCATAAGTAATTCTGTTACTTTCTTGATTATCAATTTACAGTTGCAGGCAGCGTTCCAAATGGAAAGCAAGGGGAGGATTCCGACATCGCAGAGTCAACAACAATGGAGGATTTGTAAACGAATCAATGCACGGGTCCTCATCAGCTCCGCACAAACAGGAAACGGATGTAATTCTTTACGACATTCCTTGTGATTCTCAAGCGTCGTCGGAGTCGCCTTTTCGGCGGACGCAGCGAGTCCTTCGCGAAGAATCGTTACGGGAAACACCATATACACACACTCGAAGAGGATCTGACGGGTACCGCAGTCTGTCCTGGAAACGAGTCCCTAGCGGCTCTAGAAAGGAAAAGGATACCAAGCCCAGGGAGCGACAATTCAGTCGCCCTGAGATTCGATCGGTGTACACGGGACCAGAGACGGAGAGGTCGTTCATGGATGCCAGTTACATGATCCATCAGGTACAGGCACAATGTCACAACGATCGTCAGGTTCCACGCAGCGAGTATGTAGATATTGAAACCACCGCCAGACAGCGCACTCGCAGATTCTCCGACTTGGAGAACGATGATGCTATTCACTTGGCAGACACGTATAGTCAACCAGTTCGAAATAGGAGACCAAGCGACAACGGAGCGTTATCATCAATGGACACCAGTGATTTGTATGCTTGTGTACATAAAGTCATGTCAAATCGAGACTGATTTTATTCATATTAAAACCACCGCCAGGCAAAGTACCCACAGATTCTCTGGAGGACGATGATGATATCGACTCGGTACACACGTATAGTCAACCAGTTCTAAACAGGAGGCCAAGCGACAACAGAGCTGTGGCATTAATGGACACCAATAATCTGTGTGCTTGTGTACATAAAGTCATGTCAAATCGAGACTGATCTCATTGAGAAAAGGGCGTTGTTGTTGGCTTGATATGCAACACAATACATAGCTTTAATGAAGTCAACCAGCTCAAAAGAGTATCTTCTATATATGCTTGACGTTATCTTTTTCCTAGATTTAAGGTACACTGCAAGTTATACTTCCGGTTTTAATATCTATGGTGAAAATTGAAGTCATGGATAGGTTACCTCGCGGTAGCTTTCAGATCTCCAGATTGAAAAAAGAGCACAAAGAGTATGTAATGATGAAAATGATTTTATTTATTTTAGCTGGTCTGTCTGTATGCTCCCCGATAATCATCGGCGGGATTGTATAGTCTCTGACTTGTCCGTCCATCCTAAGACGATTTGCGGTGTACCAAATTAACGACCCGCAACCCCTTAATCACAGAAATTAGGATAATGAAACTTGATGTATACGTTTATCATACAAATACCACAACTCCTTCATTACCGAGTTATTGCCCTTTGTTAAAAATATCTTTTCTGGAGCATAACTTTGTTTACTGTGTTGTGTACCAAATTCAGGGCCTTCAACTCCTCAATTACATATTATTTGCCCTTTTTAAAAAATATCTTGTCCCGAGCATAACTTGCATGCATTTCAGGTTCGATAATAAAACTTGGTGTGTACATTGCTTATACAAAGACAATGTGCAGTATACCAATGGGGCAGGAGAGATGGTGGCTGGAGTTATTGCCCTTTGTTCAAATTTGTGTCAAAGGAAGTCATGCTTTATAAAGTTGGAATTCTTTATATAGCAAATCATCTCTTGTTTTTATCTAAACATATATATATATATATCAATTTCCTATCCTCACTATGACTACATTCGGTATACTTTTATTACAGTAGAAATATTTTCATCGAATTCCATTTACTATTGTTTGCGCAAATATTTGATTATCGCCTTTCGTAATACTGTACACATCTGTCTTCTCGTTTTGTGAGTTGATTTCCGGTTATTACCGGTACATGTACATTTACAATTTATCAATTTGACTTGTGACTTTATTGGGTGTCGTTTCTACCGTTTACTTTTATGACTTTAACAGTACTTTAAAAGTTGTTCAGTCTTGTATCAGTTACGGTCAGACATGATCCAGAAACAAACATTCGGCGCTTGGAACGGTGCAGAATCAAATCATTTATCAACGTTTTTCGGGATTTAAGAATACAAATGGAAATCTTTCCGCAGTTATTCCAGTTTTCCTTCGTCTGTAATTTGTCCATGGCTCTCGCCCGCGATGGTGGAAATGACATACACTATACACAACGATGTGATCATAATATATTGACAGGGTGATAGGATACACTGTTATATACCTTTCGCCAAAAGTTCTAGCTCACTGACAACGAAGTCCAGGTCTGATTCTTGGAGAGCTGGATTCGAAATAGCCACACGGAAAAAGTTTGGCAAGTCAAGTAAAGGTTGATAAGCTAGCATCATCGAACCTTTCTCCATCATCGCAGCCTTCAGTCTAGGAGCAACCTTTAACATTTTAAAAATTTACTTTCATTAGTGCCGAACAAGGTCTGCCTAATTTGAAGCTATTGTATAAACGATATTATCTATACGTCATAGTAACTTATTGTCTGATTTTTAGACTTGTAGACTGATATATTAAATTTGCTTGCTATAATTATTTTTTTATTATTATTGCTTCATTTGTTATTTCATTTTACTTCATTTTCGCCATCTTTTATTCATTTCGCATTTCGCAGCCACACCTTGCTGTACTTACACCTATTCTGTCAAAACTGTATTAAAATAAACAAATATTTATGGTTTACATTTTGATTCGTATTTGTGACTTTACTAGGCGTCACTTTTAGTGTTTAGTTGTATGACTTTAAAATTAATTAATACCTTTCCTAGTTCAGTCTTGTATTTGTCAGGATCTTCAACACAGGCTACGCTATCAGGTATGAACCAGAAGCAAACATTTGGCGCCTGGAACTGTGCGAATATATACAAAATTAAATTATTCATCATCATATTTCGGAATTCAAGAAAACAAATGTTTTATATTTTTCACGTCTTTCTCATTCTGTAATTTGTCAATGTAATAGCGGAAATGATATTCAGTATAGACATTTTAGTGTTCCTTAGTTTGAACGCATTTTGATACGAATGCATAGTTCAAATACAAAGGCGATCGTGCATATAGCTTTTGCGTTCAGGAGAAAATAACATTGAAAAATATTTTAATGTTACCTCGTTATTGACAAGTTTGAAATTTGGTCTTTCATGAATTTTGTTCATCAAATACTTGGCAAGCCTGAAGTTTTTGTCAATTTGACTCTCGAAACCCTTGTCACCCTGAAAGATATAAACAAATATTTACTGAGAGATGGTTTGTTGTTATTTAGACTAAAAGGATGTATACATGGATAAAAAATGTGATAGAATAAATATATTAAAGAACAGCTACCAAATTCGAAATTATTTAAATCTAATGGATACCTTTGCTCTCCACATCAGCCACAGTTTAAATACGTCGTTATGACGTCCACATTGTATTGTTTTATCGCCAGTATCATACGTGACGTCATAATGTTTGTCGTTCTGGTATAAGTAGGAAGCGCCTAGTGCATTCACATCATGGAGAATACCCTTAAAACAAAGAGAGAGAGAGAAAAAAGCAAAGTAACGTCAAATTATATTTAATCAACATTGTTATTTTCGCTATATGCTGCAGAGATTTTTCTTAATATAAGTAGTATGTTCCTATACGCTGAGAACAATGCTAATTGCCGAAGGAACAATTTGGTCTTCACATATCTAGTGATCTTTAAGGTATTGAGAATGTTAAATATGAACAAGCAAAGACATGGGTTCAAGAACAAGATGTGTTCATTAATAGGAGTTATCGTTCATTCCTATTCCACTTCGAAAACAAGTCGATCTCGAAAAAGGAGCCTTGCACGAAAATAAGTCGAGTCTTTATGGTTTTCCACTTGAGATGTCATATTCCTTAGATTATCTTGGTGAGTTAAGTAGATCATAATATCGCATTATGTAACAATTTCGAAAGCAATTGAATAAATGCATTATGTGATAATCGACAAATTGGAAGAAGTGAAAACATATGTTAACTGATAACTTTGTCTCCGTCACAAGACTGTTAACTGCCAAAGATTTGTCCTCATCCTCCTACACAATGTTGGACAAACGTTACATAACGTTCATACCTTCTGACGGAGAAGGATCGCCGAACACTGTAGCGGTACTCCCATCATCTTGTGTGGATTCCATGTCATAGAGTTAGCACTGGTAAGGAGACAATTTGTGAAATACTCCTGTAAGTCGTTAGTGAATAATTTTCTATCCCGACTCATCAGATTTAAGCATGAAAGTAGATTATCAATATTGTTCATTAACATCATATCAATTAGGATTTTGTACAACAATCCTTATCTTCATCTTATCAATAATACAGTAATAGTAATAACAGTAAAACGTACTTGTATGGTTGCCTGTCCTATAAGACAGCACATTATAATTATAAAACGCTGAAATGATGGATTTGCCATACTGATGTATTAAGGATACAAACGAATATATCAACGTTGAAATCTACTACAATATGAAAAGGATAAGCAGCACACGTTCATACATAAACAGTTCAATGTACATTTATATAACATGGAGAACAAATGTGAGGACTATTCATTTTCTTCATAACACTCTCATTGTACTTATATCTGAAGGTGCTGGTCAAATAAAACATGTTCGAGGTTACTGCATTAAATCGCCTGTCTCACTGACAAATGAACTGATTCATATATCTTAGATTGCCAAGCAAAAAGTAAATAATACAGCAATGAGTCGTTACTGTTACATTTAGCTAGAAATATTTGCAAACAAATATCATTGTCTCTCATCAACACAGATCAGTACATCAAAATCACTGAGATAGCATGTTAAATACAATAAAAACCAACTTACCTAGATACGCCTGCTAACAAGTGTCTGTGTCTTTCAGACAGTAATACAGATCCTCCCCAAGCACCCTATGAATGTATGACAGACAAAGAGAAAGAAAAAAACCCATTAAAATTCGTGCATTTGATAGTTATATCTAACGTGATTCCATTTCAAACAAAACAAATTTGCATGCACTTATGTTCTTTGTATTGTTATTTCTCAGGAAACATTTCTGTAATATGTGGTTTGTATTCAGCGTGAAGTCACCAAATTAATTAAACAAACCAAAAGTGTATAATGCCTTACATCAACATGAAGCCATATATTGTATTTCTTGCAAATAGCGGATATGTCGTTGACTGGATCAAATGCACCAAACACTGTAGTACCGCACGTGACGTTAACCATGAGAGGCACTTCACCTCTTGTCAGACTTAGGTCAATTCGCCTTGTCAGGTCCTCGGGCAGCATGCGTCCACTGCAACCAAGATCAAGTATGATTTCAAAATGTAATAACTGAAACATCGTTAACCTTGTCCCTATATTCCTTCGATATGTGCTTTGCTGATTTATTCTGTTTATTACTGGTTGCTACTAAATGAAAGAAATAATTCAGTAATTATTTTGCCATGAAAGGTTCGTACATTGTATTCGTGAAGCATTTTCATGGGATCAAAGCTTTCTTTTTCTTTGATTCACTTAAATCTTACCACGCAATTGGATAATATATGACAGAAACCGTGTTGATCCTCACATATCTAATGTTCCTTAAGTTATTGATAATATTAAACAAGCAAAGACATGGACTCAAGACCAAGATGTGTTCATTAACAAAAACTATCGATAAGTCCTGTTCCATGGACATCCTAAAAGTGTGAAAATAGACCGATCACGAAAACAAGCCTATCATGAAAATAAGCCGGTAGTTTCTTTCATAAAATATTTGCAATTTGCACTCTATTAAAGAAAATAAGCCGAGTCGTTTTTCGAGTCTTAAGGTTTTTCCATTTGCGATGTCAGCGGTGCAGACATATCCTTCCGATTTATCCAGGTGAGTTTAGTAGGTCATAATATCACATTGTGTAATATATAAGTAAGCAGTTTAGTAAATGCATTTGCTTAGAAAATAGACGTATTGAACAATTTTTAGCTTTTGTGCCAGGGTTTACATATACAGTATATTAGAGCTTACCTGCTGTCACAATCAACATACACGACAGCATCCGTTCCCAGGCCAAGTAAACTGGCAGATTTCTTCATCGAGAAATGACTCTATACACGAAGACGAAAACAAAAGCATTTGGTGAACTTTTCCAAGGATCTGGGTAACTAATGACACTAAATTGCTTTGTTATATATTTCTTCTGATATATTAGTCCTTATGATAAATCATTCCTCGTACTAAAGATATAAATGTTTTTTTGTTTTTTTTTCGTAATGCCATACATTTGTATCAGTTGTATGGTAACAGCAGTGCTTGCATCAGTTGTATGGTAACAGCAGTGCCTTTTTAAAAACCGAATTCTGCACGAATATGATATATATCGCCTATACGTTGCTTTGCGAAACTTTCGTCGGAGGGTAAGCTCTTTCTCATTTTCTTCAAATGCTTGCGTTTAAAGGTTACGGGTTATACAATTCCCTAGTTAACACTTACATGAGAAGATGTAAACACGACCATCTGTGACTGACCAGCAAAACCTTTCCTTTTAATGTCGGGAAACTTTGAATGTCGAGCAGCCAACATACCGTAAAAGTTAGAAATCGCTCCACCTAGCAAGCACAAAAAGTAATTTCATATGCAGTACTATCAACAATAAGGTTCACAGCTAAATGAACAAAAGATGACATGTAATTTTCAACAGCAAGCAGGTGTTGGTTTTCCTTTCCTTTTCCGTAAATGTACAATCATAATTGAGAAGACAAGCATTATTCACAGGAAATGAAATAATGTAGATAATCTCCTTTTATGATACAACTTTATGGCATTGTGTGTTATCTGTGGGATCCGATGCAGTCATGCATGTCCCAATAAGCAAGACAAAGTTATATGCCGTACAGGTACATTTACATACTATTTAATTAAGAGTACTTTTCTAATGACAAATTCATCGATGTATTTAACACCAATAATCGTAGCATACCTGGTGCAAAGGTTCCGTCACCATCTTTCCAACCAACAAAGCTGAGCATTTTGCGTAGTAGGACTTCTTCCATAAGTGTGAATACCGGAGCAACTTCGTAAGTAAACCTGATATATAACAAAATGATACTATTACATTTTGTATGTATTATCGTCCTTAAAATGTCTCTGTATATCAAAATAAACAAATATTTCATGACAAATGTAACAGAAAAAAGAATAATAAAAATCACCTTGTCCCCGCTCGGGTACGAACTAGCGACCCTTCAGTTTAGCCGAACGCTCGACTAAAGGGAAGTTCCCCCTAGCTGAAGCTTCTACAAAATGATGCACTGATTAATACTCACATATTAGTATTGGCAACTGCAGTGAGCCACTCGCCTGCTATACCAATCATATCCATGCCTGTAGAGAGCTGGTTAAGAAATCTTGGGTGGCCTTCAGGAAAAGTTGATTAGACAACAAATTATTCATTACGTCAACGACACATTCTGAGTAGCTCCATATCTAATGTTAGATGTGTTTAATATAACTATTTTTTCTTGATATCATTTGAATTTGATACATGAACCTTCCATGTCAGTGCCGTTGCAATCTGTTTGTAACAACATTGTGCAGTTTCTAAAAGACGTAATTTAAGTCATATCGACCTCTAATAAATAAATCAACATAATAAATCAAGACCATAACAATAGGGTATTATCCTTTTACACTTTGGTTGATGTATAACATAAATTACTTTGGAAACATACAGGTCATTCAGAAAAAATGCTTGAAAAACTGCTTCTGTAATAAATAAATCAATTTGCATATTGGGTATATTACATCTAATTCATAACTTGTTTAAGAAAAAAGTAATATTTTCTTTTGTTCAGTTTCTTAAAATTATTTCTGTTGCGTTTTAAAAGAATATTCTTTTATAAATTTTATACTTAATGGTAACTAATGCAAGATCCCAGGCATGTTTCACGTATTTGTTTGACACAAACTTTAAATGTACATTATACATAATTTGTGCACTCAAATGTAAGCGCAATATCATATTTGGCAAAATGGCGAAATGATGAATTAGCACATGAGTAATAAATGCTCTTTGTAAACAAAAGTGACAATATCCCTAATCCTATATATTAGCACGATGCTTTCATCATGAAAAGCGCTGACATTTACGGTACGTTGCAATACTACAATATATCTAATATTATTATTGTTTTATTTAAAGGTCAATCTGTGTGTGTTGACATATTGTGCTTGGTTTATTTATTTGTCAAAAAAACTTAGAGTCAGTTAACCTTTAATGTGAATCGGGCAACGCGTTTTCAAGTTGCAGAGCAATCAAAGCACACGTCACCTGTATGAAATCAGCGGCTACCCAGAATTTTGACATTTGACCGTGTGGCTTCTTAGAAAGGACACCTCCGATCAGTCCAGTGTGTTTACATTGTATTTCTACCAAGAATGCGTGTGACATGCCATTATAAAATTATATTTCCAGTTTTTATCTTTCAAAACCAAATGTCACTTGTAGGCAAATGTAACTAAAACATGTGTTTCACAACAATATAGGTAATTTATCATATGCATCCGTTTATTCTGATTTTGATATATCACAAAATTAGACATGAAAGAAAAGTATGGCAAATCCTAAACTCGGGTAAAATATGCTGATAGCTGGTAATACGCAATGTCATCGGAAAGACGTTTATGGAATTGCCAGTTCTTCCAAGATGATAATCAATTAAACCGATATTCTGTCCCTACACGTAATCTACTTTTCTATCTATCCATCCATATTTTACCATGCATATATATGTATGAATATGACAGATAAAATATATTTCAATAATTGTAAATATTGAAATTTGAAAATATCTATAACCAAGGACTTCGATATAAGCCCGAGTTAATTTTGAAAGCGGTAAAATTACTCGAGATGAAATTAAAGGAGTCAGAAAATAGTTTTGAATATGAGTTTTAACCAAGACATCAAGCCCAACAAGTTATTTAAGCTGAACATAAACATTTTTGTATAACGAAAGAAAGTGGTTTTAAAATGTCTAAATATGACCGATTTTATTAGGTCTTTTTACAAAAACAACAAAAACAAAACAAAAACAAAAAATAATTGTGCATTGTAAAAAGATTTACCTTTTACATCGAAGAGAAATATCCAATCTTAGACTCTAATGACATCTAAAAGTAAGTTTGTAGCACCTTCGTATACTGATGGTACAGATAGTCATAAAACTATACCTGTTCGTATGCAGTATTTCAGTGTTTCTTTACAATCACTCAGAATCTGCTCCAGATCTCGCCCATTCTCGTCCAACTCGATACAATGTTCCATTATCTCGTGAAGTTGGTGAGGATGGTGAAAGTCTAGAACCTTGTGTCTGCGACTCTCCGATAAAGAAACGTGATGTAATGAAATATCCAACAACTCCATGAAGAAGCGCCTCTTCAGTTTTGTCTTACCGTCTACTGTTAGCATGTCTAAAAATGAAAATGAAAGGAAAATAATTATTCAAAGTGACTTGTGCGATTTATAATTAACAAGTGAACTTCAAAGTCACGTTTGTTTGTGAAGTATATGAGTTAGATTACTACAACTTGTCTGGTAGTAAGTTCAGTGGCTATTATTGAGATAAGGGTTCAAGACAGTTAATAACCTTATGATATAAAAGAAAAACAATTTAAGTTGTCAAAAAAGGTCGTGATAAGCTGAAATAAATTACAGGAGAGTTCAATAGACCTTCATTTTCTGTAAACTTTTTGTACTTACAAACCACAGGTCGATTATTGTCGAAAAAACCCGCAAGTTTATGGCATTATTCATGACCTCTCACCTCACTATTTGCAGTCAAATACAGAGTAATCTGTCGTACTAACCAGAAGCAAAGCATCCTTCAAATTCTGTCCAATCAGGTGTGTTTGGGGTAAAATTCTTAGAAGTTGATATTTTCCTATCTTCTGCTAGAGCTGCGTTTTCTTCACTGTGTTGATGTGGATTGCCGTCACCACTGAGCTGTTGTGTGTTTTCACCTTTCTGATGATGTTGTTTATCTCCTTTAAGCTCTTTTGGTAGTTCACAAGTCCGCTGGTGGTCAAGAGAAAGAATTCTCTCTAGACTATCGGAGCGACATCTATCGCGGATTTTCTGGAAGAGCTCGAAGGCCATGATTTGTTGGTAGATCTTGAGTGTATTCAGTATGTATAGCTAGGCAAACCTACCAGTTAAGATGGAGGAAAATGAAAACGGCATAAGACGGTCTCACAAGCCAAAATATAGAGAATGAGTTTACTAACCACTATTTAAGTCATTCTAGTTTGCTAAATTTACTCAGTTGTGACATATGGTCTCAAATTGTATATGTAAATATTTAAAAAAAGTGCCTGAAATGCCTAATACAATCGATACATGGTCTCGTTGGTAAATGTCTATAGATATCTAATTTATAACTTATTTTGAAAATATTTTTTAACACTTGTAACCAAATCTGTTGTTGAATATTAAGGTCAAATCTAAGATTATATATTTATATTTCAGATTATCTAAAACGAGAAAAAATATGAATATACATTTGGTATTCTATCCGCCTTTAATAGAAACAAAAAACGCGTAACACGTGTTGACAATGGAAAACTTTAACGAAAGGACGAATAATATATTTAATGCAACATGTGTTTTAAAAAGGTAGTGTCCGATTGTGTAATATAACCCTTTACCTGGAACAGGATTTAAGAACCTTAAAAATTTAGAAAATTAAATCCAATACATGTAAAATGAAGGTAAAATGTCAACAAAACACAGACACTCAATGTGAATTAGACCAGATGATTCGGAAGAGCAAGCGTCTTCTTCATTGATAATACATGCAATGTAAATCTTTGTTAATTCTAGTAACTAAAGTCACGATCTCAAATGAGAACAAGGTTTACAACAACGGAACCAGCAGGCAAACTAACGAGCATCAAGCATGTGCAGCATTATATCGCACAAAGTAGTATATTTCTCAATGAGCCACATAATTTTCATCAATCTGCATTTTTTGAAACACCGTATTTGCAATTTGTTCGTAATTTGACTTCTTGCACAAAACAACGTGGTATTGGGAACAGACAATTGAATATCAAATCAATTTGGACATGTAAACACCATAGATTGGGGATGCAGTGATGTTGCTATCCAGATGGACAATTGAAATTATTTCGCTTATCATACAATTTGGTAGAAAGCTGTCTATGTTGGCTTCGATGTAGTAAAATATCAGGATAAACATCAGATGTACATGTAGAAGAGTCTGATAGGTATACAGGAGGGAGGTGGTTAAAAAGGTATATGAAAGTTAAATAAATCGACTTTACAAGATCTATGTGATATGTTTCGGTAAACTCGGCCTCGTTTGAAATTCATATCAAATATATTTGTACTACCATTGACCTTTTTTGGAAAGTGGAAAAATCGAATGATCTTACGGAAGAAATGTTTTAGAAAAGGATGCTGATTGGTCAAAAGGTCGCTGGAGCTGTTTAAATTCTATATACTATAAATTCCACTTCTTCAGTAAAATGTATCAAAATACCATATGAAATAACGTCTTCAAACAATGAACAAGTTATTGGACGCCTTATCTGAAGGCATAATAACGTGAAGTGTGGATTTAACACGAGACTAGCGGCACGCTGACTCGTGCTTTGTTTTCATTTTAGATTTCAAGCTGCAAATTCCTTGAGAATGATGGCTCGAATAAAATTAACCCACTCAGAAAGTTCACATTTTACTATTTTATATATATATTATAGTATTTACGGTATGTATGTAAATGACACGATATATGATAACAAATGTAATATTGCACGAAATTAAAATGAATATCATAGGAAGGTTAACAAATTCAAACACGGAACGCTCGCCAGTTTTTGTTTTTTAGTGTTAAAATTACGTATCTTGTTTCTAAAACATTGTTTCTGGTGCTTTTTATTTTAAGCTATATTGTATTTTCATCAAAACATTATTTTTTCTCCGACACTAGAACTCAGTATAGATTTCTTACCCTGTTACACGAAGACAAAACCTGATACAAATTATATGCAACCAAAAGTCACGCCAGGCAGACACCTTGATAAACAAACTATCATTTCTTTGAAAATTGAGTTGGGACTTTGCTACTCTAATGACACTTATAGGTATATAATCTGAAAGTAAATACTGGCTCTAGGTAACACCTGTTTCCACTTGTACACGCGATGTGCGGTTGTGGGATATGATACTTAATGCGAGTGTTGTATTGTAATGTATGTTAGGACGTATGCCAGCATTCGTAATGGGATATGATGACGAAAAATGATTTTTGGTGTAAACGGATAAACTAATGAAAGTGGATCTCGAAATTAAAATTGTTGGAAAATTAGTTCTAAAAAACTTTAAGTCTACCCTATGCTGATGTAATAAAATATCAGAGAGAAAGAAAAGGTATGCAACGTTGGTTAAAATATCTCACGTTACGCTTTAATCACCTACATTTTTCTCCTCTTTTCTCAATATTTTGATGTTTTAATAAACAATCATTTCTCAATCCTACGACATTCAATTTCGTTCGTTATATTAATCGACATAAATTCACCTAAACGCCAATGAACGACATTGCAATGATTCTTGTGGCTCGTTTTGATAAGGTCTTAAATCAATTCAGCCTCGTGTGAAAACAAACGTTGAGATTTTTGTCATATAAATTTGATGCAGAAGGAATTTAAAACATCTATACCCAACGTTCGAATGTAACTTTGAGTGTAAGAAACGAGCAAGAAAGGATATTTTTACGCAAATATATTACAACACTTAGGTCAAATCGAAAAAGTTTTTTTAAAGAGAGAAAGTGTTGAAATAGGAATCTTAAGATTTAGAAAACATTTGACAATATTTTAAAATGTTGTCTTAAAGTTCATAGCCATGTGTCAAATAAGCCCCAGAATTAAATCAAAGAGTGTTATCACATAGGTCACCGTATTACACGCGTATAGATTGTACAGCCAGAATAGTGAATACTATCTCATAATCTTTCACATTTCTTCAAAATAAAGCAGATAGATTATGATCTATTTTCAACCATTTAACTTTGATGAATGAACTTAATAAAATGCAAGATCAGTATTTTGAAAAACAAAATTAACTTATATTAATTTTACAACATCGCGAGGACACCTTGTGTTAAGCTTTGTTCTCAGACAGCAAAACTTAAATTATTACATATAAAAATCATTTTTATATCCCTCAAATAGAAACTATTTTCTAGTTGTTTCAATACAACGCAAACTTAAAGAAAAATAAATGGAAAACAACGCTGCCCATTATCAATAGTGTTACATGTGGGAATATAGTGATGTCCAATACGAGCAGTACTAGTGTGGAATAACGCTATTTTCCAATAAGAACTGAAGTATTGTACAAGAGTGTCTACTTACCTTAACACGCCAAGCTCTACTGTAAATGTGTCGAAGAAGACGGGGCAATCTTCGAAGACAAAAATGGAAATGTGCCTGCTCAGTTTGTCAATAAATGCCAACACCATTTGGAAATAACAAATCTATAAGCAATTTTGTCCACATAGAATTATGAGCACTTGTCAAAGGCAAATACTGAGGCTCTAGAATGGCATTGCTACCATGTATCTGGTCGAAAAATATCAAATACTGACAATAGTTTATATGTACAGCATATTTCATATTTTCTGAAACGCCTTAAATTTCGTTATGACAAATCTTCATATTCAAACAACTCAAGTGCACAAGCAAACCACATAATGAAGAGCAATTGAGCAATTTTTGAAAATATCGAAAACGTCACGTGTCCCCTGAGCAATTTATGCGTATGTTATGTTTCAGATTTGCAATGTTTTGATAAAAAGAACACGTAAACAAATTAATAAAGTATGAACTGATAGCTGGTCTATAACACTTTTTGTGAAATAGAACACTATCCCTGTGCACCCTCAGTAAGGTATTAGCAGTTACTCTTTATTGCTGTAAATAAATCAATTCATATTGACAAAATCGACGTAGAAAGCAGTTACAGAAAGCCAAAATGAACCGATTTCGGTGCGGAATTAATTCGTTTCGACCCTTTTCTGTCAACACGATAAACTTATTGCAATAATGAAGTTGGAACAGCTGTTCATGACGTCACGGAATCAAACGGAGGGGAACATTGAATGTAACTCTTCAATTGAGAGACGACATCAATGGTACTCCCACGCACTCAGGAATACTTGAAAGCAAACCCGTTACGATTAGGTTTGGTTGATCAACTGAGTAAAAAATAAAGCAAATTATCAATTCCCTTTTGAATGAAATAATTTGCAGATTTGAAGTTTCCTCTTGCAAGAACACCCTCGACAATACGATTGTCGTTTGGAACCATTGCATTCAACGTCTTATCTCTTGTTTGGCTTTGTGTGGGTAGCAATGTAGTATGGTTTATCAAGACCGACAGATCTTTTCTCTCCGTTTGTCAATATCCTCAGAACATTATCTGGACTTAAAACCAGTTGTACACATTCCACGGTTTTTAGACATGGCATCTTTTGGATTTGCACCATGTTGTGTTTTGTTTCCAATTTTGAATCCGTTACTTTCTATACTTAAGGCAAATCTGTACTTCCAAAGCATGTTAATAAACAAATAGCTTCTTTGTTGGGGTGCCTTGGTACAACCTCATCGATCTCCAGTTCATAATTTAGTTGTTAACTAATAGAAAGTCGCTCTTTATAACCATAACGAGTCCTAGAAGGACGAAACATCTGCATGATGTAGTTTAATTAATTGTTTTGTTCTATTGTATCTAACTCTAAATTTGTATAAAAAGGTGCTATTCATTTGAATGTCTATTGTACAATTTTCCCAAATATCCGTTATCTATATTGTGACTTTGATTCCGGTTTACTTTTATTGCTTATGTTGTCACCACACCCCAACCAACCCTTTATCTATACTGAAGTGCAACAATAAGTATACAATGCTGAGGACAGCTTTGATTGACTAACGTAGTTTGTATCTTGAAAAATTCAATAAATCGGCTAATGACATTCTATGATACAAGGAAATAACTCTGTGAATAATAATTCTGTTCATTTACTCATTCAATTCGTTTTTCCCTCTATTTTTACTCAACACACCCCAATATATTCTGTAAGATTTCTTTCGGCAAATTTAGATTTATTCCTATATCTATATTGTAATATGAGGTTGCAACACCTCAAACACCCCTATATTCTTATGGTAATTTTGATTTCTTACCAAGTTGCCACACTAGTACTCCTGTATATATATCTACATTGCAACAATGATTATGACCTAGTTTTAATTCACTTACTCTCCTTACTTGAGGTCCTAACTGATTTCTGCATCTTTCGCTGTGTCTAAACTGTGTATATAATGTATCAATATTCATTGTTTTCCATGTTATCTAGTCACTGGAAAGTTCTACAATGTTATCGCAAAATGTTGTTAATGAAATGTTCCTAATTAGTGATTAATCAAATGTAAACACAGATATACAGTTTGTAACTTACCGATCCAAGGAGACGATTGTGTTCGTTCACCAAAGAAATTATGCATCATGGAGCAAGTATTTCAAATTAAATGAAGTCGGCAATGTATAGCTCTTACTATCCTATTACAATATCTAAACCCGGATTATATATCACTTAATTACCACTTTGGTAATGCGTAACCTACTTTGTGTCAGAGAAATGGTCCAGTCGATTACAATGGATCCTTAATAGAGATGATACAAAAGAAGTTCAACTTGCTATATGTGCATTGTACATTGTAAGTGGAGGAGGATGTAAGCCTATAATGTGACTAATTTGTTACGTCAGGTAGAGCGTGCAACTGTAGGAAATATGACTCTCATACTGGTGTGACAAGAGCACTCTGGAGAAAATATCCACAAGGCAACCCTGCTTTTGAGAGGTAGCGAATAGCTCGGCAAGCCAGATGTCGTAACGTAAGGTCCTTAAACACAGCATTAAAATTTACGAGAAGAGGAATTTTTGAGAGGTTAACAGTAAATTCTACTTACGCTACTATGTAGTAATAAAAACGTAATCAATCTGTATACTCAAATGAACAAGATAGTAGAATTAAGAAATCTTGCACCATGTCAACACAGTCTATATCTAATAATACTAGGGCAAAATATGAACAAAGGGAAAATTTAGATGTACATAGAACTATCGAAAAAGTACAAGAAGGAAAACAAGCAACAAACCTGCATCTTTTGAAACCATGTGTTACGAGTTTGTTAATTGATAACTTCTTGCACTAAACCATACAAATGGGAACAGGCCCTTGAATATCGAATCAATTGCGATAAGTAATCATTGTTGGTTGATGCAGGTATATTGCTATCCATAAACAGAAGCTTCACAACAGGGAAATTGAATCATCACGCTTATACTATGCTGGTTTTGTAGTACATTTGTACGCACATTTATTTTATTGTGGTTGATATAAATTAAGAATTGATGTATGATAGGGATTATTTATTTTCTAAATATGTAAGAACACAACTAAGTATATTTCCTAATTAAGTCATTAATATATAGATTGGACACTTGTAGATATATCATACTGTATCTATTTGCTGAAAGTCTTTTCAGCCGCGAAAGTCGGAAAATTAAATTTTATGAAACGATGCTAGTGTGTTCGATGCTCGTAAATATGATTTTATTACAAAAATCTCTTTTGAGATTGTGATATATTATCGACTGGCGTACTGTAACGTTGCTAGTATCGATGAAACAGAGGGCGCTAAACCTTCCGGTACACCTCGGCCTTTTTATTCTCTTTGTCGATTCTGTGTTAAGACATGTTTATATGTTACGGTTTTTTTCTCATATACTTAATGGTTTTCCAGGTAGGCACATTCAGCTTCCTTTATAGCGTTTAAAGTTTAGTCACCGAGTAATCGCCAACTTTTTCACGATCGCTCATCAAGGTCTTCTTGGTTTTCGAAAACGACAAAATACCTTGCGATACGTATTCGACTTGTATATTGTTTATTAATTAAATTTAGCAGACCTTTATAAACACATCTTGTAGTGATGCAAACCCTGTTTTATGTGCTTACTTTTTACATGTCATATGAATTAATTTCAGTCTATGTATTTACCATTAATTACACATCACTAGATGCATATGCATAGCTGCATTTGCATGGGCCAAAACGCAAATTTCATGCGAAAGATTGAATTTCTGCTTGAAAACATTTTCGTAGAGTTCGGAGGAGCGGATTATTGACCTAATGATCAAAATAATCCATACTACTCTTTTGACTTACCAAGCTGAAACGATTGAAAATTTTTCGGAACAGGTTACAAGGATCGGGCGCTTATGGAAATTTTACATTTTAATGCAATACAGATCTTTTAAGAAATAAAATGATAAACCGTATTGATAGTTTAAGAACCTTAAACCATGGACGCTGAATTGTATTACAACAGAAACGTTTATCCTTTATTTAGTGACGACATTACATTGTGTTTAGGCAGTGCTTGATAACTCTTTTATATGACACCATCTATCACAAAACACAACTGAATTGCCAATGTCCATGATTACATTTCATTTACACATTCAATTGTTTATCATCATATCCATTGTCAATATATGAATTCCCTCTTATCTTCTTAATCCACACAATTACATCATTGTTTCTAGTACTTTCCATCATACTGTCACGTGATGTCATGTGACAATATAAGACAATCGTCATGACGTAAATTGTCTATAATCATGTGACTGGTTGTCTTCTTCATCACTGCGCCATGTTTGGATAATGCTCTCCTCGTCTTCTGACATCTCATACCTGATGGAATTGAAAAACACATACAACAATTTCAAGTAGTTTGATTATATATATATATATATATATCTACAAGTGGTGCATAGCTGCAGAGCTCATTCAAATTGCGCATAGGATGTGAATGTATCCATGCCCTACACCGTATTGGTGACATAATATATATATTGATATATTAAGAATCTATGAAAGTCAGGTTTTACCGAAAGTAAATTTTATAAAACCTAATTCCAATATTCTTCCAGACGTTTTGCGTTGACAAGTTAAATTTCAGAACAACATAATTCTGAAATCAGTTTTCACAATATTCGTTTTTCGGTTGCTTGTTCAACAATTGAAAATTCAGAATTTTCACTGATAATTAAAATATCAGCCTATTGCATTTTGATGAAGGATGGAAATTCTTTGAAAAAATTACATATTCGATGTCTATCAAACAATCAATAAACCTACCAGGCCTTGTCATTTTCTCTTGCTTCATCTGCATCCTACAGGTAGTAAATCAAAATATTAAAATAAAAACGTCAAATAAATATTTCAAGAAAAAAACTGTGAACGGAAGTAAAGATATTTTTAAAATCATACTATCACAACAGTAATGAAAACATGGTTGCTTATGAAATGTACAACTTTAAATAACACGGTCACTTACTGTTAACGACACCTCGTCCCAACGTTTTTCCTGTGTATCTGTCGATCGTCCGAACTCTCCTGTTGATCGTCCGTAACTGTCTAGAAACTCTGACGATGTAAGTTCGCTTGGTCCTTGAATATCCTCCTCACTAAACAGTTTAATTTTCGATCTCTGGCGATCTTTTATCTTACGGTTGCTAAGAGTATCTGGTTTGGTGACTTGCTGCCTATACCGATGGTGACTGATGCGCGGGTCGGGATTGTGTATGTAGGAAGGGTCGGGTCTGGCCCGGCCTCCAAGCCTCCGTCCACTTGCCGTCACGACAGTCTCGACCAAGTCACTTCGTTCAGTATTAAACCGCTTCATGGCTTGAAGGTGTTGGGCAAGGCGGTGTTCTCGAAGCACTTCTTCGGGCGCATCTTCGTTTTCTAAGTTCAACACAACGTTGTTAGAAAAAGTATCATCGTCATCATAATAGTCATCTTCCTCCTCATTTGCTCTCCTGTGACGCCACCTAGAGGCATTGCGTCGTGTGTCTTCCCACCAATCAGATTCAGAATCACTCGAATCTGCACTAAGAGTATCAGCACGTGAAGTCCAATCCGATGTCCGTTCCGTTCCGGTTATACCAGAAGTTAGCGTAATTGTGTTTGAACAAACTGACACTTGGTCGACTGGAGGAAACATTCGGTTTTGTAGTTGCCGTGAAGTGTATCTATTCGCGTACATAGGAGCATCACGCACAATGAGCTGTCCATCCGGATGTTGGTCTGGTGGACGATTAGTGGGTAACACACTAGAGAATTTCACTTCCTTTTCTCTAGGTTTCACTGTTTCTGCTGGAATAACCTTTGCCACATCATTTTTATCTGTAGGATCAACACTAACTCCCTTGTCCGGCGCACACATGGGTTCTTGCCGCTCTTTCTGAACGTCTATATTAATATTTTGACTTAACAAAACTGTGTTGATGATGCTGTCAATGTCACCGGGAATATTTTTACTTGAAGGCAGAATTTTCTGTACCTCTTCAGCGACCTTCGATCTGGAAATCATAAGTAAACAGAGAATAACAAAGATATTTAAAATTTTCCTTCGATAAACAAATACAGTATATTTTACATATTCCTAAATCAATGTTACTCACATGAAGGATTTTGAAGAAGGTTCGAGGCAAACACTCTCATTTTCCCCCTCCGATCGATCGGAGTCTACCGTCAACGTGGAGAAATCCTTCAGCACTTTGGACAAGAGATCGCTTGTACTAGCTAGGGGAGAGAACTCGAACAGGTCCTGTAATCTCTCTCCTTCTGCCCGGATATTGTCCAGCTGTGTCCTATAATCATGGAATATCAATAAAATATAAAGACTTGTATCACAACTCTGCGTTCGACAAGTACGAATTGTAATAATTACAGATATCACAAAACAATCCTAACAGAAACCTTTCGGATGGCATTCCACTGCAGTCATTGTGCTCAAGTAGGAATTACATTTTACATCACTTGTTATTGCGTCAAATACCAAATTGAATGGTATCCGCAGGTAGTTCATTTCATTTTATGAATTGGTGATCCCTTATAGTCACGTTTATCTGTGCATTTTATGCTGAAAATATTGTAGTCAATTTCAGTGGTGGAAGAAAGCAATGAGAAAATTAATGATAACAAGATATGTTTCAATATTAAGGACATGATAACTTGCCTTCTCTTTTGTACAGTTGCGTATATGTAACCCATTTATGTATTGTCAGGATATAGCTGAGTCAGCATACATTATTATCGGATAAGCACGAGGAAGCTATTACAGAAGTTTCATTTTCGTACCGGGTCGTACAAACAGTAGTAGAAACAGCTGTTTATGTTCCTATCGAAGTAGGACAGTTTGAAAGCAAGGCGAAAAAATCTCTGGAAATACGCTTGAATAAACACTATCATATATCATCAGAACAGCACATTTGAAAAATAGATCTGCCGAACAGAAAGAGAGACATATCAAAATAAACAAGTCTTCATCATGCTATGAGTGTATTTTACCTAAGTTGCGTTTTCTTATCGGATTCTATTCCGTCCAGCAGTACCTCCACCTTGCCATAGAGATTGGTTAGACTCTCGGTAATAGTCAACTGTGTTTCTGCACTGCTTTTCAACGTGTCCAAGACATTCTTCTGATGACAAACAAGACGCTGCTCTAGCTGCAAGGACACCAACGTTATCATAAACATTACAACTGGACACATGGTTGTCGGGTATTTTGTGTGGATTAATTTGTACGAAATAGGGACTTCCAACAAATCCGATATTATGTCTAGGAACGGGTTCAAATCATTACCATTATCGGTATTTTGTCACAATTGTTCAACAACAATATCTTTCATCACTAGGACATATATTTTTCTATAGATTACTTCAAATGTGCCCTAAGCTACGTTCCATTTCAATCAAAGAATCTGCATCAACAGTCAACAGTTTCCTAAGTAATGCACAGAGTATGAATCACAATTGTCATCTTTGAAGTAGGTATGATACACCAAACTATTTGTAGTTTCCACCGCAATAAAAGATAGAACTGCGCCTCACAAGACAAGACCTAAAGAGACTTAGTTGAACAAACCGTTTCCTGTAATTTTACATTCTTCCTACTTATTTCAGTGATGTATCATACATTCCAGAGAGCATTTTCATTATAAACATAAGTACAAATAATGTCCTGGGCACAGTGTTGAATAATTAGTATCTATGGCTGATAATACGAAGAATGGTTACCTGTTCAATGGCACTTTGAGTGGTCATCCTGTTGGATCGAAGTCTAAAACAGACAATAAGAAACATTGAATGAAATCATTGAAAGCACTGAAATTCAGAAAACAACATTGTAGTTTAATTGGCCCATCCTTTCCTGAAATTGCCCGACTTGGAGATTGTGGTCTAAACAACATTCCATTTTGTCGTGTGACTTATACCCACCTCTTCACTGCAAGACTGTCCGACGTATGATCTCGCAACAAACATTTACAACACTGGTGGAGTAGCAAGAAATGGTAACACGCCATCTGGTTGTGATGCACAGCAACATGTAAGGGGTGTAAACCTTCAGCATTCTCTGTCCAACCTGAGTAACCCTGCTCTATCATCACCTATCATCAATAGAAGATATCTTCTTTCAAATTTTGGTCAGTCCTCAAAACATACTTTAAACTTCATGTACGTATCTTAACGCTGAACAGTAATAGGGCGATACTGAGATTTCATTATAGTTTTAATAGGTCACAAGTCTTCTTTCGTTCATTGGTTTTTGTGTTCTTATTTGATATATGCCATAATTTCATTGAAAACAACACGCAAAAACAACCATGTTTTGTTTACAATTCACGGCGAGACTCTTAGAATAAGACCTGATTTGTCGGCAATATTTCACAAATTATCAATATTGTTGATTCGGCATCATGCATTAGAGACAACAACTTACGTGTAGACATGTCACGTGACCATGGGCCGCTGCGATGTGTGCTGCAGTATCTCCCCTGCTATTCTTAGGTAACATCAATTGGCCTTCCTTTTCCTTGGAAAGGAAGCCGAGCAATTTCTCGAGGCATCCACACTGTACGTGACAAAATAACAGCATCAATTAATATGTTGCATTATGTTAATAACGTCAACTTGCAAGTATCTTTCATTTAAGAGGCTTTGTCATTATCGATTCTATCATCATATTATCATAATACATAAATTAAGTACCATGCGTTTGCTTACCTCCCCTTTCTTTGCCGCTACTTCTAGCAGTTTGCTAACTGTTCCTGGAGGTGGCGCCTCTTCACCGTACTGTAGCTTTAACAGAGCGTTCATAGCCATCTCCTTTCCATACTTGCAAAACAAAACACGGCGAATCAAGTTAAACATTTCATACATTCATTTCAACACTTTAGGATCCTGCGGAAGGTGATTGGAATCGACGAGTTAAAATGATCGTCATAACAGGCTTTTTCTATCACTGTTACAAGATCTAGTAGTATACAAGAGCTCCTTTTCTGACAGTTCATAGAGACATCCATACAAAAAACCTATTATAACCTACCTGAACAGATACATCTAAGGAAGACAGCCGATCATAATTGAGGTCATATGTCAATTCTGGAAACCGGGTTCCGAGCTCGATTATTACTTTAGTTTTGTCAACCATTGCCGCCTTGTGAAGTAGAGTGTTTCCTTGGCCATCTCTAAGCTTCCTAAGTCTCTCCTCTGGCCATGACGTCAACGTCTGGATCTGCAGAGGTAAAAATTCATACAATTTATATCGAATTTGAAATAGTAATTTGAACTTTGTATAAAATGAAAGTTGAAAGGAACAGTTGTGTGTGAAACGTTTGTACGGCATGGATAATTTATTCCTTGTTGAAACCAGCATATCTGCTTACTGGATTTTTACGTAATCATCTTATAACTGTGACATCATTTTTAATTGGTTATTAAGCAAGGATGGCAATTTCTCAAAAAAACAAAAAAAAAAGACGAAAACAGAGAACATTTGAAGAGATCGGAAATCTGGCATTGTGTTTAAGTTAAAAGTATCGACTTCAACAACTAGTTCGATGTTACAATCTAAAACCATATTTTTTTTGATATATACAGGAATGCGCTTTCATTAAGATGCAATGAGACGACCACAGACTTTGTCAGATAACACAATAACGTTAACTACACCGTCAATTAACAGACTGACAGATGAGGTATACTTTCCAAACATAATCCTTACAATCTTATCTTCATCGTCCTCTGCGTCGATGATGGTGAACCAGTATTTTATCTCCTGTTGAGACGATGACTTTGACCTGCGGGACTCAACTGATCCCTTTAAGGATCCGACTGAAGATCCTCCTTTTATCTTTGGTAGGGGAGGTAATTTGCGAGGAGAGCTCTGAGTTCGTGTTACCTCCTCTCTGTTCGCCTTGACACCTACTGCTGTTTCGCCACCTTGAACCTCGTTTTGACTGTCTACGTTATGCACGTTCTTTTGTTGACCTTTGACTTTTGGTTTACGGTGGAAAAGGTTACCAAGTTTTGACTTCTTTGAGTCGCTCGATTTTGAATCGTCATCACTCAGTATGTGGTTGTCATGGATACCATTAGGTATGTGTTTCTTTTTTAGTTTATTAGGTCGTGGATGAGAATCTCTATAGTTAGAGTTCTGTAAAAAAAAATAACGACAATAAAGATATTACATTTGGACTCTTAACACACACGAAACACCAAAAGAATGAATACTGAAAGCGGGGAGTAACAAAGTGCATAAGATCAATGGGTCAACAGCGTGCACAACTAAAGAACATATGAATTTATGTAAAAAATAAACATGAAATTGTCATAGTAAACTGTTAATTTCTTACAACAGTGATTTGCATTGTGTGAACATCTTTTAACCAGCAGCGGCAAACGCAAAAAAGAAGATAAATATAGCATCATTCAAAAATACTTACAATTGAAGTAGGTGCGCCATTTAAGTTGTTGGCGGCGAAACACTCGGAAATACTATCATCGATTGGAAATTCTCGCACAAAATTCTCAAAATCCTTGTCAGTCACTAATGCGACATCTACAAAACTTTCATTACTCACTTCAGTCTTTTCAGAATCAGAGTAACGTTCATGCATAGACTGTATGGTGAGAATATCTGTAAAAATAAGTAAGGGCATGAGAGTATGAGAAAAAGAGGAGAACGAAATGTAGGGTGTTATAGGAGGAAGTGTAACACTCGTGGAAGGCAGTAGGCGGAAATATGTATTGGAAGTTAAGTGACCGTTATAATGTATATTGTTTTCCATATGTATTGATGATGTATTTATAACGTAAGCTGATGATGTTTGTAATGTGTGCTTACGATTTAAGTAATTAAATATATATTTTCGTCTGTACAGTAATGTAGTGATGAACGCTGTTTAAAGTCATACGTTCAAAGACCAGATACATTTTAGCTGAATATATATATATGTTTGGTACTTACCGAATAAAGCCTCTGGATTATCGTCCAAAGTGTCCACGTACGGGTCCATGGTCCCACAGGTGTGGGACTTGAGGAAGGCCTCAAAGCTTGTGTCAGGACTTAATGAGCTTCTGCTGCTGGACGACGTGTGCAGGAGGCTGTGGAAGATGATAATAGTGTTGGATAAACAATTATAGTAACACTGAACATGTATGGTATCGACATCAATTAAATAGATAATGAAATAGTTGTCAATTATATTTACTTTATATGGCTTTATATCTATAAAATATCCATTGTCAGAGTGCAGTTTATCAACATCCTAGTGTACTGAGGACGGGTAATCGTACTTAGTTAATCATTTTACTGACCGTTTTTGTGTGTGATATTGCCATTGTTTTTTCCTTTTTTTTTTTACTTTTTTTTTTTTGGTTTTTTTTTTTTGTTTGTTTTTTTTTTTACTTTTTTTTTTTTTTTTAGTTTTTTTTATTATCTTTTTATTATTATTATTATCATTTTTTTTTTTTAAATTATTTTTTTTTTAATTTTCTTTCTTTTTTTAACGTTATCTAATAATTCAGACTTGTTGGAGTGGAAGTAAACGATTATCTACAATAGTTAACTTTTTTCAACATATCGTATCATATTTCTAAATAACATTTTATAATCAATGGTTTTCAGAGCTTTTACGTTTCGCTGTGACATTATTTCATAATCGATGAGGGTTGAGATTGTTTACAAAATGTGTGTATTGTTATGGTTTTGCCATATCAGAAAGGTGTTCATATAAATCCCTACCTATATTGTGAGAATGCCATTATCATATTAATTCTCGAGGAACAGTGATAAATAGCTGTCCCCTTTGACAAAGTGTCTTGTATATACCGTAATATCAAACATTGAAAATCAATGCTGAGGTAGCGGCCCTAAGGTCGATGTTTGTTGAGGGACGAGCTATTCAACACTAGAACGCCCCGCGCGTATTGTTAATCCTGATGTCTTATTGTGAAAACGATATCGGAATGTTAAGAATTCAAATCAATGAAATAGATGACATAGAACGGTTTCATATAGGCGATATACATCTCGTCAGAATAGTATATGTACACCATACAGTCAACCGACTCGTATTAAAATTGATAAAATCACTTCAGAGACTGGTGTTATTATTTATTTACAATTTCTGGGGGGTTTTCTCATATGTTCGATACATCTTTAATGGTGCGTTTTAATGAGAATATAGGCGTGGAGGATACAGTCGAGACGGTGTGAATTGATTTTTATGGTTTACAATCTGTAGCCTGTGGCTATATAGCATACTAAAGTATTTCTAGACGATCTAGCATCAACTCAATATAATTCATCAAAGTGATTTGTTTCAGTAGTAAGTTTGAAGGGTGACTATTTCTTTGATCAAAGTACACGAAAACACACATAAATCAGATCTTACAGACAGACAAACATATACCGGCCTATTATAATCTATTAGTATTTTGGTTTTCTTTATGGATGTTATAGAACAGTTCACAATTACAAGGTGTTCAAAGCTGGGAAATAAGATAACCAATCCATTTATTCTTCAGGAACTTTGCTTAAAATATACTGATTTTTGAACTTTGTGTCAGTTAGGAAGAACTACCAGCCATAACATCGTATTTCGTCATATTTGGTACTGCATTGTCCGTACTCATTTAACATAAACAGCGGAGACAAAATAATTCTTCGTTTATAGAAACACATAGGTCAACAGAAACCGGACGTATCAACAGGCAGTCCAGGGAGAAAACCAAGAAACATATCTACTTAACAATGCTCTATGGATTGAACTGAAGTAATATACATCATAAATTCACTCTGGATATCCCGAAAAATCAACAACTTCATTTGTCCTTAAAGTTAAAGACCTCCGAATGTAGTTTGTCCTTCTTCCGCCGTAGAAACTATTTGATTCACCATGCTTTTCAAAAGATGTGCTCATCTTTTGACAAAATCTCAAACCTCTAGAACACTTTTGAAATTACAACCCTTATATATATAATATATAATACAAACAAAAAACAAAGTAACACACAAAACAGGTGTTCGCAATCGATATTATTAATAAGACTTTAGCATGACAGTGAAACAGTCGATTTTAGTCATTTCGTAGTGACAGAATGGCAGGGACAATAGCATACAGTTCAAGTCATACAAATCACGAATGCCAGCGCGGAATTTTTCCTGTTGACAAGAGTCTTTCAATAACACCCAGATCTCGACGCCCATGTCCTACAGCGTTCACTCACAACATATCTAAAGCTGTGTTACACCCCTACTTCAGACACGAGATAACATCTGAGGAAGTACTGTGGATTGTTCAGTGGAGAAATGAATAGGTTATCTACTCACAGTCACACAGTCAGTTACAGTCATATACCCAGAACAAATTATGTGATACTCATCCCTCTGCATATCGGCGTCATATCTTAAAATGAAAATGATTCATCGAAAAAGTATTTTTAAGGAAAAGAATGCAGTGTTCCCATGCACAGTATGACAGGTATTTTCTCAAATATTTTAAATTTTAGTAACATCGGAATATCTTTTAAACAATAAAACAAGTAATGTTAATTTGCAAGAAAAAATATATGTTTGTGAATACTAGAACCAACTTCTTCATTGAAAAAAAAAGATATTTATATGCCTAACAGGTGAACGAAAAAACAAAAAGCACATCTTTTTGTTCAAACTCATTAAAGAAAAATGAGTTTTTTCCCAAATTTCCATGAGGAACCTGTTTGGATTGCATTCTTTTTATGATTGAGTCTGTTCTCTCTAGGTGTAACCTACCTGTCTTTGAAATTGACTTATACAGAACATTAGTGTCCAAGCTCAAGAGAGTTTGTTTAAAAGATTTTTTTTATTTGATATGGAGCTTTATATACATGTCACATCAAATCAGTAGATAAGTTTTATTAATTCAATATTGAAATGAAAATATTTGTTTTAAAAAATTCTTTTTTCGATAATTCCTAATTTATTTATTTGGACAAAGTTATCTCTAAAAAGTTTATTTGTGAGGTTTAAGTCTTAACCAGCATCAGTGTGACAATTTCTACACATGTACTTACACATGTGGTTGGAATTTGGCGATATTCAACATTTAGCTCATTTTTTTTATTGTTGTGAAAAGATGCATTTTGACCTCTACATTTACGACAAAAAATGTCAATTTCAACTTCTTGGTAGCTCCTTAGGGGCCAGTTATATATATTTCACTGATAGTGGAGGGGCAATTTTCCCCGTTTGTGGGCCCTATGTCGTTTTTTTTAAATTGTTATCATTTCTGTTAAAATCATTCGAACTCTAATTGAGAAATTTCCGTCATATTTGTTGGCACCATGCCACGAAGGATCTGTGCATGGAATATAGTGTAGTTTTCTATGGAAACGTATTGGTATAACAACAGGTTTGGATTGCAGGTCCTTCTTAACGATATAACATTCGGAAAGAATTGTTCGAAAATCACATGAGTAAATAACAGCTTTTCGTACAAATTAATAATATGATACAGCATCGCCAAACAATCAACCGAACCAGACTTTGCAGCTTAATAAAACAAACCCAGAATAGAGAAGAGCTTATACTTAATATCTCAATATCGATCAGCCTTTTCAGCTTCAGTTTTGTACTGGAAGGTTGGTCGTAACATATCAGAATTGCTGAAATGTCAACACAACAAACTCCAATCGTTGAAATGTTGTTAATTTAGTTTAAACTAAAGACAATATAACTCTGATACTGCTTTAATGCACAGAATTCATTTTAACTGGTATTGAAATACAGCCAGGTGAACTCCGGTCGAAAATTAAAAGTTGGTCAAAAATTTCGTTGCGTATTCAATGATCCATGTGTTTTATGAAGAAATACACTAATGCCTTGATCAATCAAAAATAGAGAACTTGTACAGTTAAGGTTTAAAGCCTGGTCACTTTGTTAGCGGAATTAATTACAGTAACGTTAGCTCTCAATGTCAAAGATTGAAATAATATAGCGTTTGTTCCTTGTACTTAAAATAGATTTTTTAATGGGAATATAAAGTTGACATGCCAGGAAGGGTATATATCTCCTGTCATAGCATGAGGGGTACATATCTGTCATACCAGGAGGGGTACAAACCTCCTGTCACACTAGGAGGGTTACAAACCTTCTGTCAAACCAGGAGGGTACAGACGCCTCTTGTCATACCAGGAAGGGTACTTACCTTAAGTCTAACGGAGAGGGATATAACCCTGCAGTCATATAAGAATTGTAACAATTGCTGTTGTCATAAGGAGAGGGTAAAAACCTGCTGTTAAACTGGGAGGATATAAACCTGCTGTCATACGGGGAGGGTACCCATCTGCTGTCATAAAAGGAGGTGGTTACAAACCTCCTGTCATATGGAGAGGGAACAAATCTGCCGTCACATGGGGAAGGTACAAACCTGCTGTTACACGAGGAGAGCGCAAATCTGCAGTCATATGGATAAAGGTACTGACAAAGAATAATACAAACCTGCTATCCGTAGATTTTGTTATGTGCCTTTTGTATTTGGGTCCAAATCGTGCATATTCCTCGTTCTCCACCATGCACGTGTATCGAAGGTACCTCATTATAGATTGCATTTTAGTTCAATGTCGTGTACACAAATATCCAATGGTTTCTTTAAAATGCCATCAAAATCATGAGATACGGAGATAAAATATCTGGGATAAGAATCAAAGTAACTTCTAAGCCATCCTGGTAATACGTTTTCCGTCTTGTGTCAGTCCTCTCGGTTTGTCGGTATCATAAATAATGTATACATACGGATGGCTGCGTGTATATTACCCGTGTATACGGGGTACAGTGCTTCCTTTGTGTGACCTTGGTAATAGCTAAATTCATATTTTGTATTGTATAAATGTAACTAATCCAACGTTTTCTCATATAATAGCGTGACTGTTCTTATGATGAATTTATATCCACACTACATGGCAGCCATACTAGTACATAAACCGATGTCACTAACATAATTTACTGATGCGGCACAATTTCAATTAACAGTTCATCGCCAGTAAAAAACTGAAAGTAATGTCATGTTTGTAACCAATCACGTTTGTTCTTCATTTGCCTGTTAATGAGCCAGTCGACTAGA